AACTCCTGGATTCCTCCTGAGTCGGTTATTGTTGAGTCGAACTTGCTAACGTTTCGCCAATTATCCTGTTGGCTTCTTCAGAGATGAAGTGAAACTGGTTCGCATTTTACACTGTCCCTGATTATATTTTGTGAGGGGAGCGGAGCTAAATGATGACTGATGACTGATTCCCATATCGGTGACAGGTAAAGATTGTTAAGTTGCTTCCTTCCTTTCACTTTATTGAACAATTAAAAAGCATTACATCAGATACGTAAGATATTTTGGTTAGTTTCAACGTAGAATCCCTCTTTCCTAAAGTCCAAACTCTCAACATCATTTCAGATTCTCAAATTCTTGTCGTACGCCCCTGAATATTTTAATATATTCGGTATATTGATCTTCCACCCAGAGCTTAGCTGTTTTCAATGTTTTTACCCGCTAGGACGCCTAGTAGTTTTGCATGTTGCACCTTATCGAACGCTTTCTCCAAGTCTGACAGTGCCTCTCTTGTACCCATCCCATTTCTAAAGCAGAACTGAATGTTACTTATGTCCGTTTCGAGGGTCCTGAAAATTCGGTTGCGGATAACTTCAAGAAACACTTTGTATCTACCGTCAACACGGGTTGTGGGATTTGGCTTTTTAGGGATCGCAAGCCATTGTCTGATACATGATGGCTCATAGCTCCGCGGCCTTTTGAATTTTTTATTGTACACATGACCTCTTATTTTAATATCGGAGGTCCTGTTTTATCCTTTTGACTAACTGTTAGACCAGCTCTGTTGAATATATTTCGTCCTTTCAGCTATTTTCTCTTTTGTATCTCCAATTATAATTCCTTTGCTCTCTTTAAAAATGTGTGTCATTTCTTTCAATCGTAATTGTTCGCATTGTTTTTCTATAGAGCTCCTGCGGACCACTATGGAACTTTCGCAAAAACGATGTAATTTTATTTCGCGTGCGCCCTGTATAAAGTATGTTTCGGGTCTCGCCGAACGTGAAATATAAAATTTGTACAAATATCTAGCGCACCCTGAATGCTGAAAGCGGAAACTCTCTATCGACCCGGTTTGCGGCACTGTTCGAACCCAATTATCCCACGTTTTAGTTTTTCAGCAATTTTCACGGTATTTTAGAATTTTCTGCACATATCGACACACCCCGTACAAAATACAAAAATACCCAAGCTAAAAGTTATAGCCCTGGATCTCCCACGTTTCCTAGAAAATACTCGTTCTCTGAACCCATGCAATATGTCGTAATAGCAAACGTACAATAATATAATATATTAGTAAACTTTTTCAAATATCTGCAACAGCGCATGTGACAGGCCAACCTAAACCAATTAGCCATATTTGAATTTTGATCTGCGGCTAATAATTTTCTCTGGAAAAGATCATTTTCAGGGTCTTTCAGATTATTGTCCATAATTGTTTCAAGAGCGCTTTCATAATATAGTCACACCACATAGAAGTGTACATAGGAGGTTGACTGAAACAGGTACTTTCAGAGCAAATAATCGTTTAAAAGGACTGTAAAAACTCCCGAAATAGAAGAAGCAGTTTTAAATAAATGTATTGATGAAAATTCTGGACTTAGTACTAGAAACATTGAAAGTAATCTGAATATCTAGCGCGTCTTGGTTTGGACAATTTTACACGATGTTCTATTGTATCCATATCATCTTCAAGGAGTCCAAGCGTGTTATCTTTTGGACAAAACCGAGCACCATCCAACCCTTGTTTGACCAAAAAATCCTATTTACCGATGAAGATAACTTTTCCAGAAATACGATCAGATATTTGTAAAATTTAAACATCAAGAACTGTTTTTGGTAAATGTTTGGGCTGGAATTGTTGCAAATTACTTAATTGGACCCCTTTTCCTGCTAAATCCCAGTTTATAGAAGATTTGCCAATATTGCTAGAAGAAGTGTACGATATTTAATTAGGAACAGAATGTCGTTCATGCATGACGGCGCGCCTGCTCACTTTAGTGTTGCAGTAAAAAAATAGTTAATAACCGATGGGTAGGTGACGGCGGACCTCAACCATGGCCGCATAAGTCCCCAGATTTAAATAGTCCGGACTTTTTCTCAGGGGGCATCTTAAAAGTCTAGTTTATAGCACCCCAGTTAACACTCGGATCGTATAACTTTCTCCGATTTAGTAAGAAACACTAGAAGCATACTTCAAAGAGTAATTTGAGGAAACTTTCAAGAACTTATCTAGTTTCTGTTCTACCTTTTTTTTTTTCAAAGAGGTTGTTATTGATTGATTAACCGACAATTTTGATAAAAATTAGTATGTAGTGTTTTTTTTTTAAATAAGAATTGTTTATTTATCTTCTAATATTTTTTTTCTGAAGGACACTAGCTGGGAACTACACCAGATATTTTATTTGAAATAGATATTTTATTTTTCACAAAAAAAAAAAACAGTGCAGTGGCGACCTAATTAACCAAAATATTATTTGCTCAGAGGCACGCCACTGATTTAAAAAAAATAATGACATTAGCATCCATTCACATGCTTTCACAATATTAGAAGAAATTAAATTTGTTTAGAAATGATTGGAGATTGTAAGAATAATTTTTAATTTAAGTGAAATCAGTGGCGTACCATCAACGTCTGTCCAAATAGAGTGGTATATTTTTTTTAAAATGTGGTACACTAAATAATACCTCTCGATATGTAGTACCTGTGTGCCACATTTCATTGAAACATCTAAAGTGGTATTACACATATTAAAAAAAATATTGACGTTCAATTAGAAAACACCATGTATAGCTGGAAAAAAACGCCATTACTGCTACAAAGATTTGTGTTTACCAGAGTTTCAAATGACTTTGGGGTTAGGGCGAGGGCTTATTATTCTTTCTACCGGGCGCGCGCAAAAAAAATCTATCGATTTTGCGGAAGTTTGCCGGTTTCGTATAAACAAAAAAGCCTTTATTTTATATGTTTACTTATTCACCGTGCGTGGGTGTCCTTCGTTCGGCGGCGACTTCCGCGCCGGTCAATCTGGGTTACGTAAACAACAAAACGATCACGTTTACGTCGATAAATAGAAAAAATACCTCGGCATTTATTCTGGACACGCGTCGTTCCTCATTGCCTGCCGCAGACGCGCGAAGCGACCACAATATGAATTACCCTTAACCACAAATTTGAATACGGAGAGAAAAACATCGCTGGGAAATGCACGTCTCACGGAGGCCATTTTAGGGGAAACCCCTGCCAAAAATCCGACAATACAGGAACTTATAAAGCGACCATGAAAAACCAACATGGCCGCTGACAGATCGTCGATACTCGCTTTTGGCATTGGGCTTTACCGTTACTTTGAGGTTGAATTTTTTAAAAGCTTTTCAATATAGGCTAAACACACCCAAAACTTTTGAACACGCAAAAAAAAATATTTTTCATTCTGCGAAATAATATACGGAGTCTTCATATAGAAACTTTTGTTCTATCTCTTCAAATAAAGTTAATAATAAAAGTGACCAAACACCCAGTACAGCAATATAGAAATGACCAAATCTATTTTAACAAAAAAGTAAATGTTCACTTTAAAAAAAAGAGTTACTACTTGCACTCTCATTCAACGAATGACTAAGAAATATTTTTCAAAAAAAACGCGTTTTTATTTGGTGATTTTTCGACAATAAATAATATTTTCAAAAAACACGGAAATTTTGAATATCGAAAAAAAACGACCTTGATTATCGACTGTTTTTTTTTTTAAACAACTTGTTCTAGGGATTAGTTTGATTCAGATACATATTAATCACTAATTACTTAATTTTGCGGCATTTATAAAATATTCTGTAACGTTGGTTAAGAAATAAAATCAGAGAACACCAACAGAAAGTATCGCAAAATAAAAAGCCTTAGCCAACACCGCTATGAATTTTGGTTAGGAAAAATAATCCGAGGATGGTGCCATGTCCGACAGTTTCAAAATTAGACGGTAGGTGTCGTTCCTTGTTACGCTTTGATCTCTGATATTCTTTTGGCGCCTTTTTTTTTGGTTGTCTGTGGTCGGTGGTTCATCGGGCGGACTGACAGAGAGAGGTTAATGGCGCTAAGAGGAGACACGTTATTTTACAAGCACAATTTTATTTTATTTTTATGTAGTTGCGGGAATAAATACTGTCGTGTGAGTTTCCGAGTTTTTATCTGATCGTAATCTGACGACAGCCTCCCGGGCCCTACAGCTTGATAGGGTGATAAAGAGTACACTTAGCTGGCTTTCGATAGACAATTTTCACTTTTAGTGATTATTATTGGAGTTTTTATATTTTATTTTGTTTATCGACAAAAAATGGGGTTAAGCAGAATTTAAAATTGTCAAACGTTAAATATAATATGAGCATTAATTATTATTGACATTGCGTTCCAATAGTAAATTTATATAATATATTTTGCTATGAAGATTTAATAATACTGGTTATTCCAAAGACGACGACATTATTTTTTTGTTTTCATTGCTCCGATATTATGTCCGTACCGTACAGGCCAAAACCATTCAATTAAAACTCGCGCAACTCAAGAGTAATCTCCGGCACTTTCTCACCCGGTACGTTCGATCGACTCGGACTACGAAAACGAAATCTAAAAAAACAGGATACGCCGATAACTTTATCTCCTAATTGGGATAATGAGCGCACGGGTTCCGGCCGCGAGTCGATTAATATGCGACGTGGCGACAAAACGGATCGTAAAAATTCAAAGACTTCAACAAACGAAAATCACGAAGCCTGGCGGCCGATTCGCGAACCTTCCCCCGCGATCACGGGCCACAACGACACTTCTGCGCAACTCTTGTCTGACAATATATACGCCGACCTTGACCTACACGGCTCGTAAGCTTGAACTGACAAGTGCAGGAAAAAAGTAGGCTATGCCAATCTTACAAGATTTTCGTGCAAGTCGCGTGGACATAACCAAAAACGCGGATAAAACACGAAAATATTCATCCAAATCTAAGGTTGTGGTTGAATAAGGTGAGACTTACCTTTCGGTGGTCGGCCCGTCGCAGTTCAGAGGATATTTCAGTTCGATTATTTCCCCGTTCTTCTCCTTCAGCTGGCCCTGTTTCTCTGTGTAATACTGCACGAGTTCCGACAGGGTGGCGAACTTTTCACCCCCGTACAAGTCGTAAAAGTCGCCCGAATTTTGGATTTTGATGTGGGTGACCTCACCATTTCGCCTAAAACGCCGTCGAAATGCGTCAGCGACCGCTAACCACCAAAAACGCGGGCTTACCTCACGGACAACGTAAAATCGCCGGGATTCGACGAGCTGGGACGAGCCAGGAAACTGCAATCTACTCCCCTTTCCATCAACACCCTCTCGGCCTCGATGCCGCTGATAGTGGGCCAAAACCACCTGTAAGAGATCGATAGCAAACATTCCGCGTCACGCAGCAGGCCTTGGAATATTTTTCGACCGATCGTCGTTGCGAATCTGCAACCGATCGGGTGCGAATTTACATTATTCGCTATTTGAACCCGACCGCATTCTCTCCGGAAACGACTTACCGCCTCGAGCTCATCGTCGAAATAAACGTGGCGCGCAAAAAAAAACTCAAACGAAAAAATTGGCAATATCGACGAAAAACGCGAATTTTTTAACCTCAAACGCCATCTTTGTTGTCGAATGTCGAACGGTCGTCGGGATGGGCCGCGGCACACGCGGGCGTTCCTAGATAGCTAAAATCGCAAATCGCGCGTTCGATGACGCTGAAATAACGTCCGAACGACTAAAGTCCCGTTTCTTCTATGTTTTTAATACCGTTACCCTTCAACCTATCGGGCTGCGTTCGCTTGACCAATTTCGAATCTCGTAACAGGTGTTCCGTGATTCGTACCTTGCGGGTGCGGGCTTCGACCATAGAAATAAAGCGGAGTCGTTTTGAGGTACTTGCTTTCCTTAATATACGGGATCGTAATTCTCCAGTAGAGTCAAAATCCGAAATCGGAATTGCGGATGTCGCGTGGCCATTGTTTTGTCTGTGGGTCTGTCGCTCGGATTATGTTCAAAAATTCGCCAACGCCACAGCCGATGACGTCAAAATGTACCAGAGCTGCTATATAATTCATCAGCTGAATGTTCGCCGTGATACGTTTTAAATTAACGTTAAATTAACAACCTTACTCATCGGTGCCGATTTATTTCGTACGTTGATGGATGGAGTACGGCATAGAATTAACCAATTTTTGCGTACTGCGTGAACACTGTGAACGGTTAATTAGTATTTATTTGGAAACTAAGGCAGAGAATAGTGGTTGGTTAGTTTAAATTTAATGAACGTGTTGCATACTATACTTTTTCTACGACCGTTAGTTTTTGGGTACATTTTCGTAAAACACGAATACATTCACTGACGTGACTGTTAGAATTGACAAACGTCAAAATTCAAAGCGTGGGAAATATCTTCGAAAACATCCGATTGCTCCCAAACCCGTGCCGTAAAATCCTAGAAATGTCAGAAGTGACTCGGATTCGTGGGAAACGAAACTGACGCTTCCCGCACGCTACATGGGTGTTGAATTAGGGATTTTACAGACGGGAGTAGAAAAATAAGATTTTTAGTTAATTTTTTTGGTTGGCAGATCTGACGTCCAATTAAGCGTGCGGAAATGACGCCTAGTGGACGAAATTGACGTGCGACCATCGTTTTATCTGTCATTGTAGCTGAAATCTCGTTCAAATCTTTGCGTAATTACTTTTTTTTAAATATATTATATTTTTTAAATAAATTGAAATAAACAATTCGTAATTTAAAACTTTTTATTGTATTACAGCTTACCGTTTAGAATAAAGTTAATATTACAGTAAAATATATACAAGTAGTGTTAGGTAATCAAGGGAAAAGTTCATCTCAAAACCAAAGTATCCGCGTTAGGGATGAGAAGAAACCTTGTGGTTTTTATTAATCGGCCGCTAATTTAAATTAAAACTCGCCTAAATAATACTTAATTTTTAGTTGGTTCGAATTCATCATTTTAAGATACTCCTTTATGCTATAATGTTACCGAAGGGGAACTTTTAAATGCAAAAACTCAGTTCTCGCCAAATTTAATTTCACTTCTAAAAGTTTCCTGAATGGTTTAAATACCCTTATGCGACCGTGCACGAAAACAAACTCCCACACGGAACACAAACCGAGCATAGACCACGAAATATTAATAGTACTTGTGAGGTTTTGTGCTTCTTTTACTGAACCGTCGAGAGAGTCGTTCCTTCCATGGTCGCCATTCGCGATTATAACCTCAACTGCGAATCCGGGAAGCGCGTTGATGGAAGAAAGAACTCTCGCACTATTATAAAACCTTCAGAGTTCAAACGGTCGAACGCCCATTCGATCCCTCCGAACGGCGCAACCTTTTAAATTATCCTAGTAAAATTAAAGTTTCGGCGCCCCCGGGGCTCCCCATTAAAACAGGCATATTAAAAAAAATAATAAAAATACACCCTACCCATACGCCTCCGTTTTTGTAAATATGCGACTATAGGGAATTTTTCATTAGTCGTGGCCATATTTTATAGGATAATGCACTTTTTGCGCTTGACCGGTTCCGGTGGCTCGAGCGCCGCCAGAATCGCCTCGTCGAACACATTTTTCAGTCCCTTCTGCGTCAGGGCCGAGCACTCCACATACTTGACGGCTTTCAGCTCCTTGGCCAGTTTCTCGCCCTGCTCAATTGAAATCGGCTTCTGTTTATTCTTAGCCAGCTTTTCTATGGTCGCCCCATCGTCGCGCAGGTCCACCTGAGTGCCGACCAGCAGGAACGGCGTTTTCTGACAATGGTGCGTGATTTCGGGCACCCACTGCAACCCAAAGGTCAGTTAAAACGTCGCGAGCGAACAAAAACCCCACCTTTTCTTTGACGTTCTCAAACGAGGACGGACTAACTACAGAAAAACACACTAGGAAAACGTCGGTCTGTGGGTAACTCAGGGGACGCAGTCGGTCGTAATCTTCTTGCCCTGGAAATCGAAAAAACCGTCGCTTAAGAGGCTTTAGAGTCCTTTTTACACATCACCGAACCATCACTTGGCTTAAAATAATAAACTATTTACAAGATCACCTAACCCACCTGCTGTATCGAAAAGACCCAGAGTATAGGGCTCTCCGCCGATCATAACAGTGACGGCATAATTGTCGAACACGGTGGGCACGTATTCCGACGGAAATTTGTTCGTCGTGTAGCTAGAAGCGAGATAAATTCGTGAAAAACGCAAGGAACGCGAAATCTCACCGCGTACTCACCTAATTAATAAACACGTTTTACCGACAGCGCCATCTCCCACAACGACACACTTGATGGTCTGCATTATTGCCCTGAAACAAACACGCCCATGGAAAAGCCGCGCTTTACGCATAACAATAAGGGTATATTTTTATTAAAGCCGCTGCCATTTTTGTTCGGCGAAAACGAGCGAACGCTCCGCGTACACCAAAGCGTGCAGCGGCCAAAATATTGGGATCGATTGACGCGAACGTACCGATCGTTGGTGAAGAAGTTTTCAACTTAAAGACGAGACACTAAACTAAAAAAAACGGAAAGCGTTTCAGGAATTTTGGGTTGGGTTCACGTCACACCGTCATAAACGCGCAGTGTCCAATGAATATAAATTTCCGTGGCCGACCATCACGGACTATAAAAGTTTCGCTGAACATTACGCGATCTGAATGACGTTTCTTACACATTCCGTGGCGATTGAGACCTGTGTCGTTCCAGATTCCAAATCGAGTTCTTAATGAAACATTGGAATATGTGTCAATTTTCTGCATGGCCTGGATTTATCTATTTATTTCTACAAGAATAATTAGGGTTGGGTGTAGTATTTGATTCTAAATTATCCTGTCTTCCGCAGGTGGAGAGCATGATATCTAGAGCTTCAGCTGGAAAAAATATTATGAAGTGTTTACCGAGGACGTGGTGTGGAATGCTTCCATATACCACTATTGCTTTCGATAAAACTTTTGTAAGATCTAAACTGGATTATGGATCTATCATTTGCATTCAATTATTGGTAAACTAGATAAAGTTCAATATCAGGCACTTAAAATTGCTCCTGGTTTGACCGAAGTGTGGAGCACTAGTTTGAATGATAGAAGGTCGTATCTGCCGTGTAAACTTCTTTTTAGGTGGTGTAGTGGCAGGAATAACCCTTTGTAAAAGGCTGTCAAGGAACTATATGTATGTATGCTTTGAAACCTTAATTATTTTGGCAATAACTATATGCCTCCATTGATTGAGAGTTTTGATCTGATGTCGCCTTATCTCTATCAATTTTTTCCTGTGCATTGTATAGGTTCGGGTTTTTCTAAGGCTTGTCCTAATGAAAAGGTATTTCGAGAGATGTGTGAACTCGGATGGTCCTCAGATTATGCATTTGTCAGGGAATGGTGGGGATAGGTGCTTTCATCTCACATCTTAATATTAAGTATGCACCCATTAAATAAGTACTTATAATTTGACGAGAGCTGGGTGGTCTCTGATTCTAGGAATGCCCTCTAGAGCCTGAAATCCACTGAGTTCAATGCTAAAGTGAATGGTATTTTCTTAAAATTAAAAAAATGTTTAAAATGATGAAATTGTGGATGGAGCGGCCAGTCAAGACATGGTTTCATTGGAATTAAAACCCCACTTTACCATATTCTTTGTAGTAAAAAAATAATCTGTGGATTACTTGGTCTACAAGATGAAGACGCATTGGGTCTTACACAAAAATCCTCGACTGTAGTTGATAATGGGCGAATGTCCTTAGCTAAAATGGCAACGTTACGTAAAAGCAACGACAAGGAAGAAGACATTCTATTGTGGTCGGAGGGGTTAGTTCTGCGTTGCCTTAGGAATTTAACGTAATTTTCAAATGGCGGACGAAGAATACGACGATAACGATGCCGGCGATGATTTTGACGACGATGTAGACGATGACAATATCGAGGAGCTCGAACAGCCTGATGAGGAAGGCGACAACATCGACATCGTCCAGCCAGGTGCCTAAGTAAGTGTTTTGAAAGCGTTTCAACTCTTAAAGTGTGGGTTTGTAGGCCAAGCAGGTGGCGGCGTACCCAAAGACAAACGTATCACAACGAAGTATATGACAAAATACGAAAGGGCGAGAGTATTGGGCACCCGGGCGCTTCAGATTGCCATGTGCGCCCCGGTAATGGTCGAATTGGATGGGGAAACAGATCCGCTGCAGATCGCCATGAAGGAACTGAAGCAACGCAAAATCCCCATCATAATTAGGAGGTACCTGCCCGATCACTCTTACGAAGATTGGGGCATTGACGAGCTCATTATTATAGACCATTGAAAGGGAATCAATTTCTATTAAATTTTTTCATAAAGTTTTCTTTTTGTAAATGGCTTATAACCATTTTTTTTTTCGCCAGTATTGGTTAGTTTCCTAAATACATGTCGATAATTATTGGATTAATGATTTTTTTTTTGCGGCTGGCCAGACGTTCGCGATGTTTGAGGTTATGGTCGTGTTTGTTATGTTGGACTTTGATGTTGCTTTTTGTTTGTAATAAATCTTTCGTTCGTTCGAAAACAATGTCGGCCGTGGTGCGAGTAGCGCGAAATAAACTACTCTTATACCGGAGCCTGCATTATGTGCAAGGTCAAGAGCCGGAACCCAAAGTTAGGGAGTACTTTTATTACATCGACCACCAAGGGATGGTAACCGATAAACATTCTTCAGGCCCTATCGCGTCCTCGCTAGTTGTTTTTAGACGACGCCCGCATGAAAAACTTCACGTCGTGTTTCAAGGACAAGTCGTTCCTGCGATTCTTCTTCCGACGGCTCCGGCTGAACGGCACCGGTCGCTACACGGAGTTTCCCTATCTGTCCGTTTGCGGCAAGGAGCGCAATTTCGTTAGATGCGACGACTACCCCGTCGTTTACACCCACGTGATACGAAAAAACGGAGAGTACCTTTTGGCGCACAACCATGCGGATGATTTGCTTACGGTGGAGTTTCGCCCCGATAAACTGTTGATGTTGCCAACCACCGGTCGTGTTTACCATCCGGCACCGCCAGAGGTCGGTTCCGTGGGGTTGATCCGATCGAAACTGGCCGTGGAGTTTAGCAGCCATTTTGAATTCGGCGACAGGCCTGGCGATCCACCGACTCATTTCAATTTCGACGGGCACAGATACCTATTGGAAGGGCAGTGGTATAAGGAAGTAATGGATAGAAAAAGCGGCTAGGTTAAAGTTAGGTTATTTATGTCTCCCGAGACAACTATAAAAACTCGTGCTGGAAAAACTTGTGACGTCCGACAAGAGAAAATGCTGGAATTGATTTTTAGAAAGTTTCTAGAATGGCAGGTAGGGGCACAATTGAATTTTTTAATGAGTCGTCGAAAACGGTTCCTTTCAGAATACCAAAGCTGACACGGTTGAGTCATTTAGATTGCTTGTTAAAATACGGAAATTATATTTAACATGTCAATAGCAATTAATACTCAACCAAAAAAAAAATGCCTTCTTATCGCAACAAAGGATAACCGAATACGGGTCAAACCTATATTATAAGTACAATACCTGCATTATTAAACCTAAAATTTCGTTCTTTTAGCAAAATACACGTAAGTTTACTGTTAAGATACCGAAATTATATTTAAAATGCCAATTGCAGCCGTGAAATAGGAAATTTTGTAAACGCAAATGCGCGTTGGAAAACAAAATAGCAAAAATTGTAATGGCGGTAGAAAATTGTGCAAAAATTTAGTTAAAAAAAAAATGACCTTTTTATTTGTATGTATATTTTGGCTATACGTAACGTAACATCATTCTCCAAAAACGAGATTTAAGATGGCGATTTCGCCACCTGATGACCATCCTAGAAGTTTAAAAATAATTTTCAGCATTTTCTATTGGTCGCTTTGTCATAAATTGAAAAAATATATGAAAACCATTTTCGAATTTTTTTTTGTTGAAAGTATTGATTGATTTTATTACGTCTTTCCAAAATATGGGGATTCTAAAGTTACCAGAAAAAAAAATAGCAACATTAGAAAAGACACCATAATGACCAAGAAATATGAGAAAAATGAAAATTAAAGTTTTAATTAATCAATATTTCTTTTGCATCTCTCCAAGAAAAGCTGCTTACTTTCAAGATGTTTTTAAACATTTTAAATATGTATTTTAATATATATTAAGCTCTTATGAAATTTCGTCGAATTGCCCTTTTTTTACTTTTAAGACTTTAAAAACATTATTACCTCCAATAAAAGTAATAATTTTTTTCAGTGATTTATATATATTATTATATAATGTTTTTTTGCTGTTTCCACAAAAATCGGATTAAAATTCTGAAGAATTTTACTTCCTTTTTCTACTTCTAAGATTAGCAATTTTTTGGAGTGACATATAATAGATTTTAATATATATTACTATATAATCCTTTACTATATACTTTCTTTAACTTTTACAATTTCGCAGAATTTTATCCCATTTTTTAACCTTTAAGATGTTTTTAAACATTTTTCCCTGCAATAAAAGCAATATAAGTTTTTAAAGTGATTTATTTTATATATAATTTAGACTATTAAAAAATTAACAACACTATACTAAATCAAGGTTCGTTGGTGTCCTCAGAGGCGGGCGGTCGCTCCAAAGGTTTAAGCCTATTCGGCAGGACCCACGAGTACCCCTTCCTACCTGTATCCCTTTGCTTAAACCCGGTAAACAGCTTGCGTTTGTCGTGTTTTTCAGGATCGAAAGACTCGAAAGTGATGTAATGCTTATCGTTTTTCGGGGCTTCATCGTAAAGCACCGTGTGACTCGCCTTTACCAACTCCTTCACTCTTGTTTGGAAGTTTTCCTTATCGTTCAAGAACCTAAACATGCAACTCTAACCTCAAACTCGTTTAGACGATGAAGACTCACATTTCGGATGTCACTTTATCGATGCCGTGGCTTACGCTCGCGTCGACGTTACTAAACACCCAGTAAAGATACTTTAAAAGTTGCCACAGGTGCTGCTCCGATTTGTTCCATGCGGGGAAAGCTTCCAGCAGATGCAACTCGTAAGTCTCGGGGTTTATCACAGGATGAAATATGGGGGATTGAAATCGTACTTTCTGAAAAGCGAAGTAAAGCGACGACGACTTCATTCTTTAAACGTGCTCACCGGGTGAGCGGAGTCGGGAAAATCGTCATCCAAAATTATGGTAAACCTAAAGACGCCGTCCTCGTAGCAACCGCGCCTCACGAAAATAACCCCGAACCACACTAAAAGAAACAAAAAAAAGTTCTCAAGTCCTCACTCACATGTCCTTTTACCTAGAGGTGTTTCCCTGGACGGAATGACGTACACCCCGGGTATGTTTTCCGCTTGCACCATTTTGCTTAAATTTCCGTCTATTATTAACGGCCAAAATCGCAACCCATACTTACTATTCGGCCAAGATAACGTACTCCTGCCTAACGGCCTTGTAAAGTTTACCTATTTCGTCATTTTCTCGAAAACTCGCTCTGGGGTAGTCGGCTCTGATTGTTCTACGCTGCTGTGCCCCGTCATCCTTTCCAGGATCACTCTAAAACGGTCTCGACTTTAACTTCAACGAGCAAACGTAGCGACGACGGGTTTACTTCGGGCTCCATCCCGAGCGTACTTCTCGGAGCCTGCTAATTCCCAAAATAAAAAATAAAAGGCGTCATAAATTGTCAACATAGTAATCAATTTGCCAATTATTCCTTATCGCCGACAAAACCAGCGATAATTAGCCGTGTTATTTACGCTCGGGATCAATTTTTTCAATGGTGAATGGCGATTACATATTTCATCCCACAGCACGATTGAAATAATAGATAAAGAAATTGTCTTGGCGCAAACCAGTGCTGGGAATATTCGAATGGAACATTTGCATATACTTTGTGAATCAGTTGTTTGTACCTTAAATTGTAAACTTTCATAGTTTTTTTCCGCTGTAATGACCGACATTACCAGGATCATTGGGCCATTTCCTTAATTTTCTCTGAATTACCCACATAAAGATAACTTATGGAAAGAAATTCTGCAGATAAAATTACCAACCATTTGCGTGGAAATAGGGAAAGATGAATCTTAAGTCAAAATATACAAGTGATACAGTAAGTGGAACAAATATGCAAGAAGCAACGTGGTCTCCTATTGAGATGATAGTTTCGCCTCCCAAGATTAAAAAACTGTTGGGATTGCAAAATGTGATCAAGAAAATTAAAATCTATCATTAAACATGTCAATAAACTGCCCTTAAATGTACGAGAATTGTAATTAAACTGTACGTATATTAATCTAATTGGTATGCATGTGATTTTATGCAACATTTTAAACATCCTCGTTTGTCTTGCTCCTACTGTTGGGAATATGGATTTTCCTTATACACCGACAAATTCCGCTAAATTAATCAAATCCATTTTGCTCGAAAAAATTACGTCGTACACACTTCCACGATACATGGATAACCCAGGCGGCTTCTGACAGTTGTCAAAAAAATCCGCTTGACGACTATCCATAGTCCGTGACCGGTCCAATATTCCATGAAATTTTTGATATTCCGAATACATTTCAAAACATGCATAAATGTTCAATGAAGCACGAGGTATCGATCCGTATTCTGGATTCGTATATCTGTCATTTTAAAATTCGGGTGGGGGTCTCGTGGGCGAGACAATCCCATAGATGCACGAATTACAACTATTCTTATATTATGATTCGTCTGGTCTAAGTGGGATTCTGTCGTGAGCATTGCAGATGGCGGTTTAACCTTCGTTCGCTCCAGACAGAATCTCTTTTAATCGTCCCCAATAATTTTGACATCTGTTCCTATTGAGTGGATTTAGTGTTTTTAGTGTTTAGTGAATGTTTGAAAGTTATAATCATTGTCGGCCTCGCTGTTCTTTTCTGTTCACGCCGGTATGCTGGCCGGATTTGCCCGGTAGGTCCGCGGTGGTAGCGGGGAAGGCCATTTTTTGCTATCGGTCAAAGATTTTTGAATAGTGGATGGATCTGTCCAGGCCCTTTTTATTAAGGCACCCTCCAGGTTATAAATGTTGGTCTGTGACCAAAAGAAAAATCTTCGGCGGTTACCGGAAAATGGGTGAATGACCACAGCGGGTTTGCCCACCTGAGAGCAATTCGTATTTTATTTCTCTCTCTCTCTCTCTCTGTTGTCAGTGCTTGCGGGTCGGTCCGTGGCGAATAACGTAAACAATTGAGAGGTTATATACCGTTTCGTGAACTTTTAGGCGTTATTTCCGCAATGTCTTCGGGTTCTGACTCCGACAGCGGCTCGAACCGGAGCCGCAGTCGTTCGCGGACTCCGGGAAACGCGAAATCCCCGTCGAATTCGCCGCGGTCGCCGGGTAGCCCCGGCAAAGGGAGGTCCGCGTCGAACTCGAGATCCGGTAGCGTCGCATCGGATCGATCTCAACGGTCGGCGAGTCGTGAAAATTCGCCTGCCGACTCGAACAGGTCGCGATCTCGTTCGCGAGAATCCGCGGATTCGAGAAAATCGGACAATACCCGCCGATCGAGGTCGGGGTCTGTCGAATCTAAAAAATCAGGCGTCCGTTCGCGATCCGGATCAGCGGCGTCCGATACTTCTAAAAGGTCTTCTAGGAGATCGGACTCGCAAGCATCCAGTAGGTCGGGCTCGCGAGAGTCGCAGACTTCTAGGAGGTCCAGGTTGTCGAAGAGATCAGATTCGCGGGGTTCAAGGAGATCAGGTTCCAATGCGTCTGTGGGTTCCAGAAAGTCGTCGAGGGCTTCGAAGAGCAGGTCGAACAGCCCCAACCTTCAAATAGACGAGGGAAAATCGGACGACGACGACGAAGGAGCAGAGCCCAAAAAGAAAAGTAGGGTGTTGGATTCGGACAGCGACGAGGGCGAAGCGAAAAGCGTAGAAGGGGACAAGGGTGTGAGCGCGGCCGCTATTTTCGGTGACGACGCCGACGACATAAGCGAGGACAGTGACGACGACGTGACCAAAGGCCGGCCGGATAAAAAAGAAGAAGAGGAAGAAGAGCGAGCTGAGGTTACGGGCGACGAGAAGGAGGCGGGACGTTCTGACGACGACGCGGATGTCGCGAGGGTGGGCGACGACGCTGATGATAAGGAGAACGAGCCTGAGGTGATACCGGAGACGCGTATCGACGTCGAGGTGCCGAAAATAAGCTGCGACCTCGGCAGGGACATAAATTTCGTCAAGCTGCCGAACTTCTTGTCAGTGGAGACGAGGCCCTTCGATCCGGAAACGTACGAGGACGAGATCGACGAGGAGGAAACGCTGGACGAGGAGGGCAGGGCCAGGTTGAAGCTCAAGGTGGAGAACACGGTCAGGTGGAGAGAGGTGGTGGACAAGGAGGGCGACGTAAAAAAAGAGTCGAACGCGAAGATCGTTAGGTGGTCGGACGGCTCGTACAGCTTACACCTCGGCTCGGAGATATTCGACGTCTATAGGCAACCTCTCCAAGTGAGTATTTGTTTAATTTCGCACCGACATTGGGTAGGTGACACTTACACTTACACTGACTATCGCTTAACGCATTTACTTTACACATTTCTTTCGAACAATTTAATGCAATTGAGAATACTGGCATGTACCAAGTGTGGTTTAAATAGCCTGAAGATTTTTGAATTTTTTATTAAGAATCAAAGAGACTTATAAGCTTTGCTTGTAATATTAATAAAATCATTTTTGAGTTTCATGGCCGACTGGAAATACATATTTACCTTTCCCATGTGATCCCATTTTGTCATAGTCATATGTTTATCAATATTAATTTGGACACTGTTTTGTGCAAACTAACCCACAACCTTTGTCCAAATGAGCCAGCTATGTGTTACTGTCTGCCATTGATGTAAATAACTGGAAACAGTAAGCTTGCATAGCCGCAAAGGGCGTCTGGAAAACCGTTGATAAACAAAATAAATAACTGCGGCTGGAGGTTGCTTGTACTTCAACTTTCCTAAACTACTGAATCGCAAACTGTCAATTGCAGGGCGACCACAACCACCTGTTCATACGACAGGGAACCGGCCTGCAAGGCCAGGCGGTGTTTAGGACGAAGCTGAGCTTCAGGCCGCATTCGACCGAGAGTTTCACGCACAGGAAGATGACGTTGTCGTTGGCGGACAGGTCGCAAAAAACGTCCGGCATCAAGATACTGTCGCAGGTGGGCGTCGATCCCGACCACGACAAGGCAATACGGTTGAAAAAAGAAGAAGAGAAACTGCGCCAGACCGTGAAGCCGAAAACGCAAAGGAAGAAGAGCGATTCGGCGTCGAGATCGCAGGCGGCCCGCGACACGTACCGTGAAGAGGAGGGCAGCGACGACGAGGGTGCCATTTCGATCAGCGCCATTAAAAACAAATACAAGGCGGGGGCGGGCGGAGTGTCGAAGGGGGGCGCGATTTATTCATCCGACGATGAGGGTTCGGACATCGAAAACAGAAGGGTGAGGAAGTCTGACAAGCCGAAGGCGTTGAAGGATTCGGACGAGGAGAGCGACAGCGAATAGGTTAGGTTCGTTTATTTGTAAGAAGCGGCGACAAACAAATAGTTTATACGAGAGAAAAGCGATTAATAAATGTTGAAAATCGTTTGTATTGTTTTGATTTTAAAATCCAGGCGTTTCTACCTGCCGTCGCGTTGAACGGAACGAAATCTGATATTATATGCACCCATAAGTAATGGGTGTAATACCCATTTTTTAAACTCTGGTTTCCGGGTAAATATGCAACAGGGGTGAGCGACAGCGAATAGGTTAGGTTCGTATATTTTTAAGAAGCGACGACAAGAAATTAGTGTATATGAGAAAAATGGGATTACCAAAAATATCTTTTTTTCTTTCGTGCTGTTTTAATCTTAAAATCCCGGTGGCTTCTAAGTATCACAATACGGGCGAGTGACAGCGAAAAGGTGAGGTATTTGTAAGATGCGGTGACAAAAAGATGGTATATTTGCGACAAATAAAAACCGTTGTTTTCATTTGGAAAATCCCGATGTTTTGAACGAAATTTGAGGTCCGAAAATGAGACCGAGCCAGAGGCCGGTATGTAACGTAACTTATGAGGCGTAATCTAATTAACAGATCATAAAAAAATTACCATTTGGTAGACTGCGACCAGTATGGACGATACGTTACGCACTGTGAGCACTCAAAAACGCCTATTCAGTAATTTTAACAGAAAAAACACGAAACAGAAGGTCGAAAAATCTGCAAATTGCGCCATTGTCTTTCAAAATGAGAGCGGGCACACTTTGAGAAAATGCTGCCTTAAAAATGCTACATCTAAACTAAAACTCGTCGAATTGATGAACTGTCAGCGGCCATGTTGCTTGTAGCGCGTCAGGTCTGACTGATTGAAGACGAGTTTTAATTTCAATTTGCAGAAGAAACAATTCCTATATATATCTAATGGTCATATAATTATAAAGTTAGTTATCCGTGATTTTTATTTCGAGGTTATTAAATTTTGAATCGCGTTTTCTAATTATCAATACCACAGCATCACTGAGACTGATTATTTTATGTTGGCAATAGAGCTAAAAAAGGTAATACCGTTATCGGCGGGTGGTGGGGGGCTGGAACGGGAAGCGAATTTGTTTGATGTTTGGGACGTGCGATAGGTAGAAGCCGAATCGAGTTTGTAGGTTTCCGGGACCGCAGATTTAAAGTAAGTTGTTGAAAGTTGCCGACGCCGGCGTTTACGATCGCGTGGTAACGGAGTAGGAGTGGGTTTTACTGAACGCCGCGTCTGTTCCGGGGATCGTCCGTGTCGGCAGTGGGAGACACAAAGAGAGCGTAACCGTTTAACATGTCGACTAAACGGAAGAGGGTGCCGACGAAAAAGGCGGCGGCCAAAAAGAGAAAAGATGAAACCGACGACTCAGAGCTGAGCGACGCGAGCGAAAGCGACGCCAGGAATCAGCCCGACGAAGTATTAATTGCAGGTTAGTGACGTTTGCGGTTTTCCGATAAGTAGCGGCCGATTTTTTTTTACCGTTGAAAGGCCACGGCGACGTCTTGGACGAACTGAGCCAGCTTCCCAAGGAGCTGCTCAACACCCTGGTCAAGCCGGTCGGCCAGTTGGTTTTCTTCGGAGGGGTCAACTGGGACCAGGCTGGCAAGAAGGACTCTAAGGGCGTGAAAATGATCCCCAACCTCTGGCTGCCTCACAAGTTCGGGGATTACAAAGTAAATGGTTTGGGGGCGCGTCCCGTGGGGTGGCGTCGTTATTAATTTTGACGCGTGTCAGGTTCGGTTGGCGGTCAGCGGGTGTACGGCGGCCCACAGCGTCCTAGTCGACGCCGAAGGGAAGGCCTACACGTTCGGTCGGAACGCGCACGGTCAGTTGGGTCTGGACAGTACCGCTACCGTTTCCAAGCCCACCGTGGTCCCCACTTTGGAGAAGATGAACGTCATAAGCGCCGCGTGCGGGCGTCACCACACACTCTTCCTGACAGATACGGGTAAGTCTCCACCAGCCAATTCAGTTTCGGTTATAATTGGTAAAATTTGTCGGTTAGTTCGGTGTGTACGCCACTGAATTAGTGTTGGTTTGTTGGCGAACTGTTAGAATAGCGTGTGAGCCGTTAAAAAAATCAAAGCCTACTGAGAAAGTAACAAAGAGTAGAATTGTGTGCTAAAAAAAACGAGTAAAAACCTGCCCAAAGGAAATTCAAACGAGTAAAGATGAATGTATTATCAAAAATAGTGAAACGATTGAAAAAAGAGCGCAAAAATCGATAATTAACGTTTAAACAATGCCCTAGTTTCCAAAAAAATGACATTTTTGGTTTGTGCGCCAAAAGATAAGCCAATTGTTGGGATAAGCACCCTGAAGTAACATTACTTTTCAAAGTTTCATATCTGAGATTTAATAGATCCAAGTTTAATTTTGGTTACATTTTATTAGTTGACCAACTCACTTAACTAACAAACGAAACAAAACTGATCACAATGTTTTTTTTTTTCTTTCTCCAAAACTTGTACCGAGTTTAATAAATAGATCCAAGTTTTGTTTTACTTGGTTGTTTTGGTTGTGGTTAGTTAATTACTTAATTATCAGACTAATCAACTTGTATCTTTGGTTTCTTTGAGTTGTTTCCCCAAAACTCGAAATTGAGTTTAATATAATCAAGTTTAGTTTTGACTAGTTTTAGTTATTTAGTTAGCTTATTAGCAAAATAATCAACTTGTTTCTTTGCTTTTCTTTTTTCTTTAATAGAGCCAAGTGGACAGATTTATATCTCTAAAGAAGGTTTGATTATAGGAAACCCACTTAGTCCTTTGATAAATGAGATTTTTATGGATAATTTTGAAATTATCATACTAGAACATCCTTGAAGTAAAAGTTTTTTATGGCGGTATAGATACGTGGATGATGTCTTTGCATGCTTTGTTGGAACGGACAGACAATTGAATTATTTTTTTAAATTACATAATCGTATAAAATTCACTATCACTCTATTAGTTTTTTAGATTAACTATTACGAGAGCGCAACACAAATTAGATTTTTCAATATATCATAAACCTCCACACACGGGCACAGTCATACATAACAGCTCAAATCACTCTTATACACACAAAATGGCTGCACTTCACTCTTTTATACACACAGACTTCTTAATACGCCACTCTCAACAGAAAATTACAGTAAAGAACTATCATTAAACAAATTGCACTGAACAACGGCTACAATCCGTCCATTATAGATAAAATTATAAATATAAAACAAATCCAGACAACAGTAAACTCTATTTATCCGAAACCTAATACAGCACACGATCAATTTAAAATAATAACATACATAGGAGAACCTAATGAAACTAACTAACAACTAGAACTAACAACACAATAGGAAAAAATTTGAAAAACAATAAAACGAAATGTCCAAAATCTCAAACATCAGATGTCTACAGGTCGAAATGCGGATCTTGTCCTAAAATTTATATTGGACAAACCGGTAGCTCCTTCAAGAAACGCATTAACGAACATAGAAGAACATTTAGAAACAATAGTCGGGATTCTAATTATGCTACACACTTAAACACAGAAAAACACGTTTTTGACGACAATTTTGATATTTTACATACAGGCACAAAAAGTAGAAAATTAAATTTATTGGAAGCAATGGAGATTAAGAAAATGAGACATCAAAATGTATTGCTTAACGATCAATTAGGTCTAAATACCTCTCCTTTATTGATCTTAAATTCTCACAACAACATTAATTAAGGTTTTATGGTCATTTTTTGGTATATATAGTAGCAGGTAGTTTGTAAATATTACACTTGATAAAGACACGGTGTTGTCGAACCAGTTGTCATGTCAAAAAATATATTTTCCTGAAAATCAGTTCTAATTATTTTGATAAATGAATTTTCATCAAGTAAAAGCCACCTCAGTTCAATAGAAGGAAGTTTAGTTTTAGTCAGCGTACTTTGCTGGTTTGGGTTAGTTTTTACTAGTTACCTAATCAACTTAATAAACTAAGCGAAACTAATCGATTTGTTTCTTTCTTTTCTTTCTTCAAACTTTAGTTTTTGTTAGTTCTTATTAGTTAGTTACTTACTTAGTAAACTAACCAACCTAATTTAATATAAATAAATAAAATAAATAAAAATTGCAAATCAAAATCAGGTACAGTGTACGCGTGCGGCGATAACAGGTCGGGACAGTGCGGCGTGGGCAACCTGCAGCCCCAAATTTTGGTACCCACCCGTATCAACTATAGGGGCCCGCCCATCGTCAAGGTAAAAAAAAAGACAAGTTGCACGGCGATATAAATTTCTGATCGAAACTGTTTTTTAAGTCAAGCGTTTTAAGCGTTAAAAGGAGTTTCCATGTGTCTGATAATTACGTCCGAACTTTCTTATTTTTCTTTTATTTTTTTATATAAGTGTTAAGGAAAAAAACTGTAGACTGTCGCAACATAGTCCGTATTTCAAGCGTACTAAAGCTCTTACTTTAAGGGCGGCAAAATATTCATACGAAATATTTATAATAAATGAATAACAAGGGCAATAAGATAACATATACAGTTTACAATATTTTTTTAAAATAATTTTTTAATATAATTTGCAAGTTTTAAAAATATGTATAATAATAAAGTTGCTTTTAAATCAGTTCGATCATTTGATAGGAACTTTGGTACCATTCACCAGATTACACGCTACATTTAATTTTCATAATTATTTTCTTGATGAAGAAAATATTTGCCAATATATAATACAATTCAAATATGAACTTTGTGCATTACTTTGCACGATGTTATTATTTTTGTTCCGATTAAAACAACGGGGATGTTTCTTTATTTTAAATATACAGGACGGCTCAAAGAAACGCGATGAATAAAATCGTTTTTTTTTTCTTTTTTTTTTAACAGGGCATTCTAATTTTTCAACTTTTTTTTAGTAATAGTAAGACGCAATACTTGAATCTGATTTAGAACACACTTCAAATACCGTTGCATTTATCTTCCACTTCGTCGCCCATATGAAATATGTATATACATTTTTTTGTCCAAATTAGATTTACATATGCATTATTATTAATAAAAAGGTTAACGAAGTCTAAAGGAAATCGATAACAAAATTTAAAAATAGGGTGTTAAATTAAATAAAAAGTGGGTTGTATTCGTCACGCTTTTGCGAGCCACCTTGTACACTTTAAAATAATTTTAAATCGTGCGCCCTGACAATCTTTCCAACTTATGTATTGACCATTTTCTGATAACTTCCGAAACACACGAGGCAATGGACTTAATAAAGCAATTGTTCCTAGAATTTTTCAGATAAAAGAGCTTTTTGTTTAACGCAATTTGTTATAATTTACCAGTGTTTTATTTTCTTGTTTTTAGTTATGCTTTATAATTTTTTTTTTGCTTTTTAAACGTTCGATGAACTAACTAGATAAGTAGCAGTTAGATTTTAAGTTAATTTTACAGCAATCATACTAATTACTGAATTACTAATTAATTAGTAATAAAATAAATACATATTTCTTGGCATCTATATTGTATTTTGTATTTGCTTCGACTCTTGATCGAAAATGTCGCTCCTGGTGAGTTAAGGACTGCATATTTTGCACTTTTCCATTCACACCTCCTATATGCGATCTTTATATGGGACCATGCTTCTGGCAGGCACCGTTTGTTCAGATTACAGCGAAAAGCAATTCGAATTATTAGTGGACTTGGTTATCGGGAGGACTGTAAAAATGCCTTTCGAGCATTGGAAATTCCTACATGGTCCTCGTTGTTTATCTTAGAAAATCTATTATTTGTAAAGAAATATCCGCATCTATTTACCACTTGTAAGGAATTGCATGACCATCAAAGCAGAGGTTGGGACAATGTGGTTATGCCGCTTAGAGACGTGTGAGACTGGTCCAAATTATTATTATAAATTAAACAGTCGAACTATTTTTAATTAATCAGAGTTTTTATTCTTTCGATGAATATTTGTATTTCAATTATGTATCAGGTGCATTTGAAGTATATGTTATTTTATTCCTTTTTGTTTGACGTATGTAAATCATCTGTGATTGTAACATTAATGAAGTATTCGTATTAGTACCAATAAATAAATATAACTGCTTAATCAATCGGTTTTATGTTAATGCTCCAGTGTGCGCATGTTGTAAGAAAAAAAAAACCGTAGGTCGGTTGCGGGGCCGAATTTTCAGTCGTCCTCGACATCAAGGGGGGCCTGCATTCGTTCGGGCTGCCCGAGTACGGTCAGCTCGGCCACAACACCGACGGCAAGTACTTCAAGACGTCCACCAAGCTGTGTTTCAACTACCAGACGAGCCCGAAACGGATCGTGCTCTACATCGAGAAGAGCAAGGACGGTCACGTGTCGCCCGTGGACGTCACCGAGATCGTCGACTTCTCGTGCGGCCAAAATCACACGGTCGCGATCGACAGCCGCAAGAGGGCGTTCTCGTGGGGTTTCGGCGGTTTCGGCCGTCTGGGCCACGCCGAGCAGAAGGACGAGATGGTGAGCCGTTTTTTTTCTTCCCTTTTTTGTTTTCTAGGTTAGGTTGGAAACCCAATCCCCAATCCTTTTCACCCCACTCTAAGTGATTTGTTCCTTACAGTCTGCATATCCAAAGTTGAATTTATCTTGATAACGTTTTAACTTTGTTTTTTTCGAGATATCAAGGTAAACAAAAAAAGTTAGTAGCCAAGTTTTTTTCCAAGCGACGTATAAAACAAAACTATCAATTTTCTGATATTTAATCCTACATCATATATTTTTTAATGGAACATCCTGTATGTGTTTAATAGAATATCTTATTCCGAATACAACTCACTCATTTTTGTGTCACCTTTTGTTGGAAAGTACTAAATCTAAATTTCTAAAACTAAATTTGTCAATTTTTTTATACAGTATATCTCGCTAAGAAACTGTATAACATAATCGGTTCATTTTAGTTAGTTGAAGAGGAACTGTACTACTCCGTGAAATTCCGAAATCGCCTAAAGGAACAAATATATCTTTTTATATTAACTTCAAATTTTTTTTTATCAAATCTGATAAATACGCAAAATGTTTTCCGGCTTGGCTTTTTTGAAAAACGTACACCACCGCATCTTAAATAAAATTTGCGTTGCATTTTTTTTCCGTGTGTTTTCGCATTATAAGATACAAAATTTAAAATTACATTTTCAGTAAGGGCTATTTAAAACTGTCTTAAATAATTTTTTTAACGGTCTTATACAGTGTGCCCCATTTCCTGTGCCGTGCATTCAGAGATACCAGGGTTAACGAAAAAACAATTTTTTTCCAGAAAACGTATAAAACAAAACACTATGTATATTACGTATGTGTTTAATAGAATATCTTTTTCCGATTACAATCCGATCCCATTATATTTTAGCCCACGCGTTTTTGACAAATCGGCAAAAATAGGTAAATCTGGGTTTGACCTTATAGTTCTTGATATGTGGTCAGTGATATTTTGAATGTAAGGAAGGAAAGTGTGGGATTGCTTTCGGCCTCATTGCTGTTGGAAGGTTATGGTGAAGTGTTTTGTGATGGAACGCTTAATATCTTTATTTTGGCTCCAATGACCCTGGTAGATATAGTTTTACGGCTCTGTAATCGAAAGAGTTGAGAACCAATGAATTTTGGACCGGATAGTATTGGTCTGTGTGTAGGTTTTCTGTAAACACAATGACCCAATATTAGATCTGATTTTCTATCTATTGATAAGAATATGTAAGAGTGGAAGGTTAGTTTCCAACTCAATAGTAAAGCGTATGTTAGGTGTACTAAGGATTCTTGATCATGAGGCCAAATAATCCAGAAGTTTTGTAAAAAGTATTACAATAGGAAGTTTCTTTGAAAAATGAATGTGAGATTGATTTTTAAGGTCTTCCCCTAGGCAGCTTTGGAGTATATACATAAAAATGTAATTTCCGAATTAAACCGGTTACTCAATGCGCGCACTCCCTTCTCTCTTGATTTCGCTAGAGTTTTTTCTCTTCTCTCTCTACGAGTCTCCTAGGCGTATCGATTTTATTGGCCGTTCGAAAAGTGAGGTTATGCACGTTTCGCACGCAGGTGCCGCGACTGATCAAGTATTTCGACAGCCAGTCCAGGGGCGTGCGCTCGGTGCATTGCGGATCGACCTACAGCCTCGCGGTCACCGAGTACAACGGCCTGTTCATGTTCGGCCAGACGAAGCGCACGGGCGAGGTACGTGGTGTGACGTAATTTGACGGCGGTCCGCGGCCATTTTGTTTGTTTTTTTTTTTTTGCGCGTTCGAAGGCGAACATGTACCCAAAACCGATCCAGGATCTGGCCGGTTGGAACGTGCAGCACGTCGGAGCTAGTTCAACCTCTATCGTAGTCGCGGCCGACGACACTTGCATCGGGTGGGGGGCGTCTCCGACCTACGGGGAATTGGGGCTCGGCGACATGCAGAAGAGTACGACGACGCCGAAAGAGATCACCCGGATGTCCGGTATCAAGGTGCTCGGTTTGAGCATGGGATATTGGCATACGCTGGCGATCGCGGCCGAAGACACTCCTGAGCAGAAGGCGAAGCTGGAAGCTCTCAAAAAGTTCGAGCCGTAACGCGGGATCTACTTAACTTAAGTTAAGTAACCTCGATGGTGTGTACTTTATATGTCCTCCATTACCACATCTCCCAACCTCATCCTAGGTTTCATTTTCCTCTTCTAGCATAGGTCAGGTTTTAACATTTTCGCTATATATATATATATATACACGTATAGGGTATTCCCAGTATTGTATCTTTTTTTACATTGTACGTTTTTAATTTATTACGCGACATCTCATCCCCACGTAGGGGAAACGTTTTTTGTCTACGATATTTTTGACAGCGTCATTATTTTTTCTGTAATAAAATTGGTTGTAAAGTGGGCCGGGTAGTTTGATTTGCTGCGCAGATTTGAAAAAAACGCTAGATTATGACGTGAGATGTCATTAACCGATCATCATTCTATGGTCTATGGTCACGGTTTAGTAGGATGGGCCATTTATGCACTGGAAATTTCAATCGTTTCATTATTTTCGCTCCATATATACACATACATCTAATATATATTACGCTTGTAAACGTGATAGGCATTTTTTTTTAACTGAAAACGTCATTTTTTTTTCTTAAACAAAATTATATATCCATATTAAAAACAAATGTATTCCACTGCAGCTTTCAAGCTTTTTATGAGCAACCGAGACAGAAAAAATTATTAAAAAACTCAGATTTTTAACGTAACCCAACAAACAACGTCAACTTTGAACTACTATAATTAAAAAAATATTCAGAATAAACCAGATATTCTCTAGAGTAAAATAGGGAAACAAAACGTCCAGAAACTTTATTACTATACGCACGTGACGTCACTTTTGTACGTCGTAAAAACATAATTAAACGCTCTGTCGTCTGTGATCGGTGGTCCGAGGTCAAGGCCTTCTTCGACCGGCGAACGATGCTCTCGAAATGTCAGTCGTGCGCAACTGCGCGCGGCGGCGGACGCGTTTTTAAAACTTACGCACGAAATGCGGAAACTGGACGACGTTTTCGATATATTTCGCGACCGCCAGCAGCATCGGTTCGCTTAGGTTCCTGCCAATCAATTGCAGGCCAATCGGCATGCCGCTTTCCGACAACCTTATCGGGATCGATATCGCGGGACAGCCTGGAAAGAGACACGGCGAGTTTTTGCGCGGAAAACGATAAGCAAAAGAGAACACTAACCGGCCATGTTGGCGGGCTGGGTGCAATAATCGTGCAACGCGCATTGGTCCCTGTTGGTTTTCTGGACGAATTCGCTATACAGGGGCGCGGTGGTGGGGGTAGTCGGGGTCAACAAAATCTGCACCCTTTCCCAAACCCTGTCGAAGTCGTCGGCGATTTTGCGTCGCACTTTCAGCGCTTTCGTGAAATATTTGTCGTAATTCCTAAAACCGGGCCAAGAAAGTATGACACGTTTGTTTCATATGCTAACGATGGAGATGAGCTACAAAAGCAGCATTATATGCTATTTATATATAAAATGTTACATAATGTGTTCCGCAGATATATGTGAAAAATCGTATTAGAAAAACATCAAATAATACACCGGCGGTCCTGGAAATTAATTTTCGAGTGACAAAATTCACCAAATGTCTATAAACACGCCCTTTTCTAAAAAGAAAATCACGTAATTAAAGTTATAAGAAAAGTTTTATAAATCTGAACGGAAAAAAAATAAATTTGATCCATTTTGGATTTATTTATTAGTTTATATTATTATATTAGTTTAATTATATTTTATTTTAATATTGACGCTGAAACAAATCAATAACGTTTGGCAAAAATAACAATAAATTGAAGCTTTATGTGGGAAATCCATTTTTTTTCTTCGAACGTCAAATTGTTTTTTCAAAATTTTTGTTATTGCTGACATCCATTTTAACGAACGATTAAATAATGTTTTGTCGATCATCCTTTCTTGGATCATACGACGTTTCGTCTTTGAGATACGCATCTTCAGAAACTCGTGTTCGTGAACTGTTGGGTTTCCGTGTTTTTTTTTTTTTGGGGAAATAACCTTAATTTATACTGAAAATTACCGAACGTACCTAGTCAGGAGAAAATAGTTGCCGGTAAGGATCCTGTTGCGGACGATTTCGTTGAACCCTAAACTGCGAGTGGTGGCGAATAATTTCTCGGTAGAAGAGTTTTCGTCGGCCCGGAAACCGTACTCCAGGCCGTCGTATCGCGCCATATTGCTCGCCACTTCGCACTGGTTCAATATCGAGTAACAGACGATGCTGTATTCTGTATTCGGCATCGACACCTTTCGAAACGATCGTCATTTTAACGAAGCGAAATAAAAAGAGGGGAATATCTTTAGCTAGGATGAAAGCAAAAAAACACAGCAAGTGGTGGAAAGGGCATGGCAAAATCGTTTTTTCCCTCTTAGATGTAAATAAAAAAATTAATTTAAAAATACTCTTTTATGTAGGTATAACAGACGCAGTATTAGCCGTTACCATGCCAACCGCTAAGCCTACTTAATTATTCTACCTTTTTCTCCAATATTCTAATATATTAATAAAAGGTATTGATTCATTGATTCATTTCTTAACTATAATTAATTATTGGCGATTATTATGGACAAATTAGGACAAAATCAAATTTAACTCTAGTAGAAAATATAAGCATCCCACGTTACGTCTGTCGTCTCTGGTATAGTAGTATGCTACTATGAAAAAATATGTTTAATAAACACATTTCTATTTATACCTCAAGTTTTGCATTACTTTCTGAGTTTTTTTTTTACGCTCTTTCATCTTAGCTAAAAATATTTATACTATTATATTTGAAATTTTCGAGAATATTATTTCGTCATCGTTTTTGACATGAAGCGCCTCCTACCGAATCGTGAAAGAATTAATATCGTGGTATTGACGTGCCAATCGAAGCTCCTATAAATACTCTTTAACACTAAACAAAGTTTTTCGAAATTATATTAGCAAAAAAAAAATTATTCAACTTTTTCTAAGCCAATATTTGATCCTTCCCCCACCCTTAATTTCACGAGATAAAAAAAATTGTTTAAACAAAAAAGTGTCCCTATCTAAAGTAAATTACGTTAAAATTAATTTTGATATAGGTTAATTTGCAATACTTTTGTGAAAATCCGTTTTTTTTTTTATTTTAGACTAGAGGTTCCGCACCCTTGCGGCCATTTTATGAAAATAATTTCCAACTTTTACTCTTGGCCGATTTACGGTACATGAAAAATTTCATACCTGTCATTTTTTCTCATGCAATTTGAAGAAGAAATAGGAAATTATCAGATAAAAACGTCATATTTTGCCGAAAGTATTTATTTATTTGACTAAAATGGTTAAATACTTGCATAGGTGTAACTGGGGAGTTTTTATTTTATTTGTTTCATAAATGGGACCTTTGGGTGAGGGGGGGATTCGTGGAAAACCACTACAAAGTCCAATTTTCTGTGTATTTTTCTTTCACTTTTATCAAATTCAATTACCCCTCAATTTTTTGCTTAAAGTTTGTTATTCCTTCTTATTTTACTAATATATGTAGCTTACTTTTGGTATCAGTTCAAAGTCTCAATATGGCTGTTCTGTTAATTATAAAAAAAAAAGATATCTAAAGAGGCCCCTATGAACGCCCATCTCAATGCTTCGAATCATTATAAAGGAGCCTCCCTTAGTCCCCATTACATCTCACTTATGCCTCACTTGTTCGACCGTGGCACCGTGCTGTAGCAACAAATTGGCCACTTCGTTCCAGGCTTCCCTCACTTCCCGACACAAGTACTGCCCGTGATATTCCGCCGGAATCCCCACCCGCAGACCCCTTATAGTCATTTTGTCGGCAGGCGGAAGTCTTTCCAGATAACGATTGCAAATGTTACCATCACATTTTTGATCTCACAACTTATTTTACCTGATTTTTCTATAACTCGGCCTGGAGGTCGAGTCTTTGCTGTCGTGCCCCGCTATGACGTTGAGAATACTAGCGCAATCGTCGACAGTCCTTGTTAATATCCCTGGAACGTCCATCGAATTGACCAGCGGGATCAAACCCCAACGGGATACCAAGCCGTACGTCGGTTTGAAGCCCACCACTCCGCAATAAGAGGCGGGGTTCCGCGTGGACCCGCCCGAGTCCGAACCTAGGGCTCTTTCGCATTTAAATTAAAATATCCGAGGCGGCCCCCCGCGCGGCGAACTCACCCGAAACAGGCTCCGGTTGCGACGGCTACGGCACTGCCACCGCTACTTCCGCCGGATATGTGAAAGCTTCGCTCGTCCTCGTACCCCCAAACATTACGAGTCGCCCCGTAAATTGAATCGACTGTTCCTGAACCCATCGCGAACTCATCGAGGTTCGACTTGCCTAAGAGCACCGCCCCCGCGTTTAACAGTCGTTCTACCACGGTCGCGTTATAAGTCGGCACGAAATCGTGCAACATTTTCGACGCGCACGTGGTTTTGAGGCCCCGGGTGCAAAAGTTATCCTTTACCGCGACCGGTATACCGTCCAGCTCCGATAGCACGTTTTTATCTTTGATGCGTTTTTCGGACCGTTGAGCGCTTTCCGTCGCCGTTTTCTCGGCGACGGTCACGAAAGCGTTATACTTTTTCGTCTCTGACACTCTCTTTAACGCTAAACTAGTGACTAGCTGCGGGGATACACTATTATCGGCAAGCAGTTTAGATACCTTAAATTGATGCCAATTAAACATTTTGTACTAACGAAATGGGAGCCAAATACATTGTTTATACTTAACGACAACAGTTTATCCATTTTTTATAACAAAATCTCTATCAAATAAGGTTATGTCGAAGAAGAAAAGTCTACCCATAATACGAATGAACGATTGGCTTGGTATATTAAAATATTTTTCGAGTGATGGACCAATTTCTATGCTCCGTGTGACAGTCGGTGGTTTTGTGTACTACTCAATCGATGAATGTTTTGAAAATTATTTCCAGGGGATAAGCATTGAAAAATATTTTTAACCGCCAAAATGGCGAAAGACAATAAATTATTCTTCCATAAGACTGTGATGCATTTAGCCAGGGCTCTGGCGAATATAAAAAACACGCCCTGGGACAAGGTAGGTTAAACGTTAAACTTTGGACGCTTATAATTTGATTTTAATCGTCGCGAAGGTCCAGACCTTGTTTTCGATGTGCGCGATAGAAGCATCTAACAATTCAATCGCGATCCACTGTCGCGAACAGGATGCCGTCATCGCTTTGGGGATATATTTCCTGGAGTCGGGTTTGCAGCACAAAGAGAAAATCATGCCCTATCTGCTGCACCTGGCCAAAAGTTTGGAGAAGGCTACGTGGCTGGACGAAATCAAATACAACGCCACCGACAGTAAGGCCCGCGATATTTACCCCTCCCAAATTGACGTCGGGTTTTAAGGGATACCCATGGCGGAAAAATTCAGCTTTTGCCTGCACACTCTCCTCAGCGATGTCGCAGCGCGGTGCGAGGACTACCGTAAAATAATAATAGACACCCAAGTGGAATGCTTGGTTTCTCTGACGAACAGCATTGTCAAGCTGCAAGACCCCAACAACTGTAACAGCAGCGCCAAGTTGTTCCTTTGTAAAACGATTGTTCCTGTCCTTATAGGTACGTTAATGTGTCAGGGATAAATTAGGTGGGGCAGTTTTTTTGAGCAATTTTGGCAGATAAAAGTAAAATTTCTATGAAATGTGTAAAAATATACTGAATGTTATGTTCAAAATAAAAGCAAAAAATTGTGTCTCCAACATTAAAAAATTAGAGAAGTACAGTATAAAATGCGATATTCGGTCAATTAATTCTTAAAAAAGAAAACAAACATTTTAAAAGTCCTTCTGCTTAATCTTCAGAAATCATTTACTGCGTCGTGAGGTTCTTTCCCTGTGACGTCAAATGTGAAGAGTTCTAGGGCAACTTTAAAATTTATGCAAGGAACATGGTGAGAAATAAATACGCTTTTAGTGTATCGAAAGCTTCCATAATTGTAAAAATAAAATGTCAACAAAAAATCACAGTCGCCATTTTTTTTTGTTTTGATAAATATGTGACCTGACTGACCATTTTTTTTATTTTTTAATAAATGTTACCATGTAACATTTTCTTCCTTTTTTGATGAGCGTTTTCTTTGGTAGACGTTATTAACTTAGCATTTCTCCTTTTTTTTTATAAATGCTACCAACTAATCGTTTCTTCTTTTTATTATAAATGATTCCAATAACCGAAATTCCCAAAGGAATGTAGCGCCAATGTAAATGTAAACATTATCATTATTTTGATAAATATTATAAGGCATAAAGACCGTCTCGGATAACTGATTCCCATATTGGTGACAGATAAAGACTTGAGTCGCGGTTAAGATTGCTTATAGATTTCTATAGACTTTCGGATTTTTCGTTGGTAGAAGAATTGATTACATGCAAGAATTTTAGTTTTATCGAATTGAATTTTTATGTCCGGTTTCGTGATTGTGTTCCGCAACTGCTGTTGTCTTAATCTTAAGGCTCTTTATCTCAGTATCTCCAATTCTTTGCCGCGCATGCATGGAATGCTGCCAATTCCCGGCATCTCAGATGGATGGATTGAAGATGTTGGGAGATTTTTGGATAAGCGGCCCGGGGAACATTTCTCCTTTTTTTTTCTCTTTAATAACCACTACCCACCGATCATTTCTTCTTCTTTTTCTTTTGATAAATGCTACCAACTGATTATTTTTTATAAATAAATGCTACTAAATAACGACCAGTTTTTACTCCTTTTTACTCACAATTTCTTCTTGTTTTTTTGGCACCTCTTTGGGGAATGTTACCAATTGGGCATTTCTTGTTATTTTCGAAAATCGATAAAATCGATTTTTTTGAAAGTATCTACACTCGTATGTATAAAAATTTTACATCTCGGCGTCGGTAGGCCCTAGGGGACCTCGTTGGCACAGAAGTATTTAAAAAGAAATTAAAATCGCATGTGCAAAGGTGTATGAAAAAGATCATTTTTTCAAAAACCGTCTATGAAACAAAAAGCCGCAGAAGATTCGGCTCCATTAACTTTTATTCGTGGGAGTCAATTATTAACTGCAAATCAAAATTCGTAAAACATATGGCTAATCGGTTCAAACATTGTTATAGGCCGCAACAAGAGGTAGAATTTGTGTATTTACAGTTATATATACACATACCCTGCTCGAGATATTTGAAGAAATCCACTATGCCTCGGACTCAGTCTAGACGCTATGACGTCATTAACTATTACGGCGTATTGCCTTATTTTCTGGAAAGCCATTTACCATTTTGGAAAAATTCGTGGATCTGAAAACGTGGGAGATCCATGACCGTAACCTCCGCTTCTGGGAGTTATTCAATTATGTACAGGATGTGTCTGTAGCGGGAAGAAAACATAAAAGATCCTGAAAATTGCCGTTTTCGTGGGTAAATTATTAGCCATAAAAGAAAAACTATAAAACATTTGATAATTTGGTCTGAACAGTATCATAAATTGTGTCTAGAGATAGCGAGATATTTGAAAAAATGTAACTGGAAATCGCTATTATTTGCACAAAGTTTTGTGTTTACCAAAGTGTGCCGCGACTTTGAAGTTTTACGAGATGTGGAACATTTCTCTCTTTTTTTCTCTCACTGACCATTTTTTCTTCTTTTTTTTTTAATGCACCCAGCATATTATTTATTCTTTTATAAATAAATGCTTTAAATTAAACGAAGATTTGATCAGCGAAAAGTAAAATGAGCATTTCTTCTTCTTTTTTGGTGCCTCTCCTTAAAAAAAGGTTGCCAACTGATTATTTCATCTTCTTTTTTTTTTTAAAAGGGGATTTTTTTTTCTTTTGTCATCGCACAGGTCTCGCGCGTGCGATGGGGCGGTTCTGCGTCGGTGACCCGCCCCTCATATGCCGCCTGTTTCCGAAACCGGAACCGCCGCTTAACCAGGCGGCGGGCAACGCGCGCGACTTCTACACCCGGAGCTTCAGCACGTTCCGGAACATAATACCCCGGAGTCTTTCCGGTAATTTGAGCGCGACGGTCGACATATTGGCCATCACGCAGGGATACGACACCGCCGACGTCGCATACACCAACTCGCTGAAGAAGAGCGGCGGCCCGTCTTCGATAGGCAACCACCAAAACGCGTACGATCCTACGACGTATTTCTTTGCCAAGTTCGGGTCGAGTTTCAACCAGTTCCCGCAGCTGAGAGTGGATGCGCAGAACGTAGCTGCGCAGATCACGTTTCCGCAGCAGCATCTCGCTACGGTTTTGGCGCTAACGAAGAAGCTGCTCACCAAGTCGATGCTCGAGTTTTTGGACGAGCAGTCAGCGGAAATTTACGCGACCGGGAAGATACAGATATTTCCGTACAAAAGTTTTTCTGAGACCATCAATTTGGTGATGGTCACCCTGTTGCGGGAACTGTTGCAGCAGCAGAACACTCTGCCCGAGCCCTTCACCAAGGACGTGCAGGAGTTCGTCAAAGGTAACGGCCGGGAAAATTGGAAAAATTAGAAAAAAAAAGAGAGGAAAATTAGAAATTATTTTCCAATAATTAAGTAAAGTTTTGGTAACAAGAATGTCGGTACCACAGAAAATATATGGGAAAGTGACACACTGCAGTGGTGTCGCAGCTTCAGACCCTTTAAAAAATATCGTGATACATACTTTTGAATTTAACTCCAATTTAAAGTCGTTCATTAAAACTATAAAATGCATAAAGATTATTTTCCTCGTCGAATTTATACGGATGGACAATAAAAATTAGTTTACTGGGGCAAAAACGAGTTTCTGATATAAGTCTGATATAAGAAACAAGTCAGAATTTCCGAAAAAAAAATTGGATTTTTGAGGAACATGTCAAAAAATCAACATCAAGAAGTGCTGACTTAAGTCAAAATTTCTGAAAAAGAATTAAGAATTTTTGACGTAAGGGTCGAAACGTCAGGTATACAGGGTAAATCGTAAAGAATGGCGAATCTTTAAACTGGACATCTGAGTCTTTTTTTTGTGCGACTAGCAGCTGCATATACCCTCATACACAAAAATCGATAGTATTTAAATCTGAACTCTTAGGCGGCCATATCTCGTTCAATACAATTTGTCCCAAAAAAAAAAAAAAAAAACGATTTTCGATTTTTGGGCCAAAATCACGATTATTTCTAGGAAGTAAAATTTTTACCGAAAGAATTGCCCATTTTGCCATATACCATTATGGGGCACCGGACAACCTTTATTGTATATGGTATATTGTCAAAATTAACTATGACATGTCAAATTATCTTCTTTCAATGACCGTAAAGTTCTACGGACATGACAATTGAGTTATTGCCCACAATGGAAGTTTGTTAGCAAAATCGGTCATAGGAGGATGTTTGGGGCTTGTTTTAGGGTTGTACCTGAGCGGACAAACGGAACTGCAGAGCCGGCACCACGATGCCAGCGAAAAAGAAGACCGAGAGAGCAATTTTGCTCTGGTGAACAGGTTCAAGGCCAACGTAATGGCTAACGCGGCATGCGTCGACCTGCTGGTTTGGGCCATAGGTGACGAGACCGGTAAGGCTACGAACCACCAACCCCTTCGTATCTCTCTATCTCTCTATCGTCACACTTTTCATCGTTATTTTCGTTTCAGTCGATTCGGAATATAATTTCTCGACGCTGATTCGATTTTTAACGACCATCCTAGGTGAAACGATTTTGTGAGCTTTTCCTTTCGACTTAGTTCGAGTGTCTTCCCGCAGGTGGCGCATCGGTTACGTCACTTAAAAAGTTCTAACTGTACAGGGTGTTGTAGAATCTTTTAATGCTCGTAAATTAAGAGCCGATTGAGGTTTAAAAATTTATGCCAAACTAAATTAATATTCATTTCACATCGCAGATAAACCAGAGATCAGAGAATAATACGAAAATTGACAAATTTGAATGTGACGCAAAGGATAATAAAACACGACCATAGAATACACGCTTTTTTTGTGTAGCAAAAGGTAAGTAAAACAATAAAATCCGAAAATGAGTAGCAGACATTTCTTTTTTTTTTGTATAAACGTTACCAACTTTTTTTTCAAATGCTATGGAATGACTGTTTCTTCTTTCTTTTTTTTTATAAAAATCTATTCACTTTTTCTTGATAAACGTGACCAACCATTTCTTCTGTTTTTCTTTTATGAGTCCTACGAATTCAATAGACAATAGATAAAAAGCTTTGTTAGTTTAGCATTTCCAACAGGACAACATTTAATACATCGCGACGTCATATTTAATGTGCTCCAGGTGAACTTTAAACCCCTTTGCTGTTAACTGACATTTCTTTTTTTTTTTTTTGGATGAATCCCACCAAGTAACCATTTTTTTTCTTTGAAACACGTTTTTTAACTTACCATTTCTTCTTTTTTTTGATTGAATAGACTCCATAGATGAAGCATTGAATACATCGTGACGTCATACTTAAAGGGCCCGGCTAACTTTAAACCCCTAATTGTTTTCCAACTAAAATCATTATCAAATGGCTACGGAAAAGCACAAGGAATATTCCTTCTTTTTTTTTTAATAAACATCAAATAACCATTTGTACTTTTTTTTTGTATGTGTCATCAACTGACCATTTGTCTCTTTCTTTTTTTTAAAGACTCCCTATCAGGTAACCATTGTTTTTTCTTTGATAAACCTTTATTAACTAACCAATTTTTTGATGATATATAACGTCCACAATTCTGACTCAAAAAATAATTAGTTTACAATTTAATTTCTTCTTTTTTTCGTAAATCCTATCAACTGACCATTTCTTTTCTGTTTTTTTTTTATGAATGCTACAAAGTAATCATTTCTTCTTTTCTTTTGATAGCCGTTATTAAATAACCATTTCTTCTTTTTTTGATAAACGCTACCAAACCACTACTTTTTCTGTTGTCTCTAAGACACCACCACGTGACCCCGCCGAACCGAAGTCGCTCGATCGTTTGCAGCGGGATTCAGTGACTGTGCATAATTTATACTCAATGAAGCACTTTCCATTTGATACCAATATTATTGGAGCCATATTTGTACCATATGTCCGGAGATTTAGGAACAATCAACTACAAAATATTAAAAATCAGCCAATGGAGCACCATAAAATGAACACGTACAAATCGAAACGCAAAATAGGCCCACGCCACTGTTAGTAATCCCCACGCCAATTGCTGTCCCATTCTAAAATTACGCGTACTAGTATCCAGCTGATAGCTACTCTACATACTCTCCGACACAAAAGTATGAGTCAATTCGGTCCTAAAACCAAATTGGCCATTCGAAAACTTTAGGGATTGTCCTGATTAAGTGCTTTCCGGCACGAATTCCATAACACCCTGTATGAGGAAATGAAAAATGCGCGATGCGCCGCCGCACGTGTGCTTTCCGCTGGTCCCGTGTGCGAATTGACGTTTTGGTTTTGTTGCCGTCGACCAGTGGCGTAGGCCGTGTTTTTGTTTTCGTTTTGTGCACGAGAGGCTACGCCGTGGTTTGCAGATTAGCGGGGCCTGTATTAATAGGGGCGTGTTTCAGGGGCGGACGGTTTGTGCGGTAGGTTGTCGGAAAAAATCAACTCTAGTCACGGGTACAGGCTCGTGCTCGCCCACATGCCCCTGCTGATGGTCTGCCTCGAGGGTCTCGGCAAATTGGCCCGAAAGTTTCCAAACATCGCGTCCACTTCGATTTACAACCTCAGGGACTTTCTTATCGCGCCGTCGCCCATCTTGTCCAAGCTCCACAAGCACGCGAACGAGAAAAACGGCAAGGAGAGCGTCAAAATAACGGGTGAGCGCGCTGTCCGCCATTTTCTATACGAATGAATGAGTTTTTCGTCATCTGTGACGCGCGCGGGTATGGGCGAGTGGCCCTGGGCGTTTCGATCAAGGTGTACTGTGCGAAAGGCACGACTGACACTGAGGGTTTGAAGATTTAATAATAAAAATTAGTAATAAATAAATAAAATAAAAATATGAAAAAAGAAATGAAGAAGGAATTAAAAAATTTTTTTTTCTTTTTGGTCTTGGTCATTTTAAAGTACCTGAAATAAAACTTAAAAAAAAAATGATTAGGCAATAGAAGGAGAAGAAACCTTTACAAGAAACGGTTTTAATTTCTCACGTAAGTAGAGGTAATAGGGTGTCTCGAAAACAAATATATGACATCAAGAACGCATATCGCAAATCAAATATACAGGGAGCCTCAAAACAACTATGTATTTAAAAATTGATGATTATATTATTGTATTTGAAACATTCTATGTCGTCGAGAGGACTTAAACGACATTTACCCGATATAAAAATTGTTGGTCCGTCGCAACATCGGAAAACTAAGCATTTGGATATATATTTTGACCCATCGTCTATAAGCAGCAGGAAAATCAGGGGCGTTAATAACAACAGCTATTTTTACGGCCTCTATCTGGCGAATAAAAAGTTGAAACTTTGAATATTGCTATATAACAATATATTTTTTTTTACTTCTACTTTCTGCGGGTAATACTTTGGCTTTGGCTAGTTTTTCGGGTTAATTTATTTTCCTTGCATTTTTTTTGTAAGCAATAAGTAATTACGCAAGAAACGAAAGGACGTGGCAATGGAAAAAAGTAAAAACTTCTTTAAAAATTTCTTTTATTTCGCACATAAGTAAAGGTGCTATATTCATTATATCGACGACGCATTCAAAATATCAAATATTCTTTGAGTCTCGAATAAAACCTGTACTTCAAAAAGCTCGGTATGTATAGCAACCATCTGCATCCCTATTCAAAATACATAGAGTCCCATACTAAAAACAAAATATGTAAGCCTCAGTTTTCGTAATTAAATTGTATATAGGAAATCGTTGATTTATTATTTTGCTACGTGTTAGCTCAGGAGTTGTTGAAAACATTAGTCTCTCATTCATGAAAACACTAGAAGTCAGTCTTGACTAGATGGTATTATTTATTAGTTAGTAGTTATCAGACAAGACAAGTAAGCTAAGTCAAGTACTTCCTTTTTCAAGTAATTCAAAACATGTAAACAGAAAACACGATTACCTGTTTGAAACCAATCCATTGCAGCATGCCATAGTTTTGAAATACATGGTATTTCAAAACTATGGCATCTTCGTCTTAACAGTCTTGCGCGAAAATTATATGATATTCTACGGCCAAAAATATAGTGCATTTATTGTTTAGACGTTTTGAGTATTTTACAGCCCGTTAACTGCAGACCTGTTTATTCTGCATTAAGTAGGTTTTGTGTGAGATGGACCGTAACGAATATTTGTAGAAATATGAAATTTTTATTTGAAAGGTAAATGGACCGTTTTAAATTTTGTTTAGCATTTATATTAACATTTTCAAGAGATTAATCAAAATTTGCATATGTTGGTGTATATTACGGAGATATTTGACTGTGAGTAAGCATATATTTATGTACCTGATTCTCGAGCTTAGACCCTGCGAGGCTGTTTTTGCTGGATAGTTCAAAGGAGAAGGGTAAGTACCTGTATTCTATTTATCTTACAGAAAAATTTGAAAATATTTAATTTTGTCTTGTGTGTCTGTCTATTAACAACATTCTTCTTCTTGTGTTTTTCTATCTTCGCCATAGTCCGATTTGTAAACAACAACAGTCTTTTTTAAGACTGTTCGCGGTAGATAAAGGTACTTCATAAGAATACAGAAAAATATTTATTAGAATCGTATAATTAAACATTTTTTGAAGGTTCCTGTTTTTTAACACTTTAAAACGAAGCAGATGTTCCCCTGAGAGAAAAAGACATGGAAAACAACGCAGAATTTGAAGACGAAGTGGACATGGTAGTCGATCCTAATGACAATTTAAAAGACGAATTACTTATGCAAATAAAAAACGGATCCATTTTTCTTCGGATGCTAAACATATTGTTTTGGATGTTTACAATTTTATAAGAAATTCAGAAGAGGAATTAGGAGCAGCAATAAAAACAAGTGACATTGAACGTAATAAATTGTTACTTTGTACTAATTTATCCCGGTTGTTAGTGTAGGTAGATAAATTCCTAGGACGGTCCTGGAATGGTTGGGGTAAGGGTCTGTTCGGCAGGGCGTTCTAAAAGGGGCTGCGGTTTTTGAGTAATAGTAACAGTAGGCAAAGTTAATCACGGGGTCGGTTGCAAAAGCATTCTATTTCTGGTCGAAGTATATCTTTTAATTCCAAAAGTACCTAGTGTATTTTTGTTATTGACTTAATAATCGTGTCGCCTGCGCAGCGAGCGGTAACCGTCTGCGCGCGGAGACTGCGCAGTCGTCGTCTCCGATGTGGACCGCGTTCGAGCGGCTCCGCGACGCGGCCATCGAGAACCTTTGCCACGCCCTCGAGGCGGCCCACGTCCTCGATCCGGACTGCGTGCGCGCGTTGGTCGCCTCCGTGTCGAACCGGCTCTTCACCGCGGAGAAGAGCGACAGCGAGTCGACCCTAATATCGACCAACATCGTCATCATGCTCGGTCACGTGGCCGTTTCGTTGAAAGGCACGCCCAAAACCACCGACACCATTCTGCAGTTTTTCCAGCAGCGTTTCTGTCGCGTGCCGTCAGCGCTCGACACCCTCATCGTCGACCAATTGGGGTGTATGATCATAGCGCAGTGCGAGCCCCACGTCTACGAGGTCGTGATGAAGATGTTCACGATGATCACGGTGGAGAGCAGCAGCGCCGCCTACGGTAGCGGCACGAACGATCGCGCCCAGTACAGGTATTTGATTAGATTTATTTTTGAATTTTTTTTTTGTCGAAATAGAATGAAGTCCAAAGTGATAAATACAAAAACATACATATGTAACAGTAAGTTATTAATTTTTAATTTATTTTTGAGAAATTGGATCGTTGTGGTGTAGAAAAATGTTGTTTTTATGTAAAAGCGTGTTCCCGCGTATTTTTCGCGCTTCGTGGCTGAAATACAAGAAAATAAATAGACAATACAAATCAGTTGGCAGAATACAAAGGAATAAATATATATTGCAAAAATACAAAACAATGTAAATATTTAAAACACTAAGATATTGATTTGTGATTGTTTCATTTTGGACTCTTATTTTTGAAAAATTGGATCGTTGAAGTGGCTGAAATACAAGAAAATAAATAGACAATACAATTATGTTGTGATTTCTTTTAAAGTCAATTTCCTACATAGATTAATAATGTGAATTCTGGCCAATTTAAATACAACAAAATAAATATGTTATGCAGATTTATTTTTAGCGAAGGGTAAAAAGTTAAGTAGTTCAAGCAATTATATATTATTATATTATTATTACATATATATATATATATATATATATATATATATATATATATATATATATATATATATATATATATATATATATATATATATATATATATATATATATATATATATATATATATTGTTTGTTGTTTATTTTTTGTGGATTCTGACCAATCGAAACACAACAACACATGCATATTGTATTGTATATACAAATTCGGTTTATCTATCCGCTCAATACACCGTAGTAGTTTTGTTTAGTTTTTGAATTTTATTGCGACGTTGCCAACTAACCATCCCCACATTTTATGGTCCTGAACATGGACAAATGTATTACTAAGAAGTTCGCGTACAGGGTGCTTTGCAAAATCTTGCCGACCTTTCCAAATTTATCGTAATTTTTCTCCCTGTATATAGGCACGTATCGCGGGCTGTGATAAACGCGCTCGCGAACATCGCGGACAATATACAGGGCGAGCAACACATGCACGAGTTGTTAGGCAGACTTCTAGAACTGTTCGTCCAGCTGGGTCTCGAGGGCAAAAGGGCGAGCGACAAGTCGCCAGGTATCGTATAATGGCGGCTTAATGTCCGATTTCTTTCTTTTAACCTTGAATTTCCTCTCAGTGATGGAGGCGGCGCCATTTAAAATAAAAGATTCGATGATGGGTATGCGAGTTTGGAGTGTACGCTTCGCCTAAATTTAGGTTATTAAAATTACATTGTTTACATACTTGTATTTTCGCTGGAAACTTGAAAATTTTACGTGTGGGTTTAGAATGTGACGTGCATGTTACAATTAACGGGTGTTTTTTTTGGCGGATATAACGTAAACTAACGGAGGGCCACAACATTTTTTATACAATGCGTAAGAAAAAAGAAAAAGCGGGTAGAACTCGAACAGTTTTTTTTTTTTTTGATACATGGTGTTTTCTAATTGAACGTCAATATTTAAGGGGATCAGTTTGGGTGATTAATTTCGGCCAGAAGTGAACGAGGATTTCAAAAATTAGTTGTATTTTAAGAGAAATCAGTTGCGTACTAATAATTAAAAACACGTCCTAAATTATTAATTGAAACTAATTGCAACCTAGTGTTATTAAATATTTTTAATATTCTACCCGCCTTATTGCTACACGCACTCGTCGAGTAATAAAACTTGCGCATAAATTGAAATGAACATAAAAAATGGAACCAAAATATTCAATGCAACTTTTTCATTAAATTATAGATTATGACTTTTCATATGAAAATTCCGTTGCAAAAAAAAAAAAAAATTGTGATCAATAAACTTGCTCGGTTAAAATTCAAAAACAAAAATGACGAATTTTTTTGAACTTTTCTTAGTTGTAACTTGTAAGAAAGTCAAAATTTGATGAATATATTTTACATTAATTTTAATTATGCTGTTCGCATACAGAAATTGTGAGAACAAATTTTTCCTGAAAATAATATAAATAATATACTGTGATAAATTGTCGGATCTTCACAACTTGCCTCAAATTTGTAGACGTGTGATGCAAACTACCCAGCTTATGCTTAATATTATTACAATGCTGTTTTTTTTTTTGAGAAATAATAATGGTATGTGGGTTGCCATTGCTCCATTTTTTGAACTACTGTCTAAATATTTTATATACCGGGTGACACAAGAAAGACTGAAGACTATAACTTTTAAACGACTTCAGATAGCGATTTGAAATTTGATTTGATTGAGGAGATTATTTTACGTAGGATACGACGGTTTTTCTCTTCTTCTTTTTTTTTTTGTTTTTTACAACTTTTATTTAATTTTTGAAAATTGTATCTAGGAGGCTGCGACCATCATAAATACTATTTACCGGGTCACCTGCTCATGGGAAAAATTGCAATTGAAACTTTTCTATACTTGCCTAATGGCAATTAGCATTTAATGTAATGAACTTTTAATTCTTTAGTTTAACCTAGGTTTTTCAAATAGCACCATAGCGGGAACAAAAACTTTTTAAAACCGGTACTTTTTTTTGTGACATGTTGACATCAAAATTTTCAAAATCCGTTAAAAAATAAGCTCACAGGAAGGAAAAGACCAGGTAAGTAAAATAACTGAGGTGGCTTTGCTTCTATTCATCAAGTCGGCATGATTACAAATTTTGACAGATTAGCATGGAAAACAATAATCAATTTACGAATGGAGAAAAAGTTGGAATATGCTGCACATTCTTTGTTTCGAAAGCTGAAATTGAAAACGAGAAATCCCCAAAATAATCGACATGATAATTTTATTATAAGTGAAGAAATGGAAATCAATGTTTTGGGATACGTCAGCGAAATCCAGCTGCACGGCTAAGACAAGTGGCATTGGAATTTAGACATCTCAAGAGAATCTGTGAGGAGATTTTTAAAGAAACACGGCTATTATTCTTTTAAGTATATCCTCCGTCAACATCTTTATGAAGCTCACTTTGTAAGAAGACTTCGATATTGTAATTCGCTGTTACATAAACATGACGAGAATAATGATTTCGTTAACTTAATTTTGTTCACTGATGAATCACGATAATGCTATGTTTAACCGTCAGAACAACAAATAATCAAAGAATTATTCGTCCCGGACAGTTTCAAGAACGGATATTTACAATTCCTAAGAAATGAAATTGAAGACTCGTTAAAGATGGCGGGCTTCTCCATAATTTTAGAGATGTCACTGAGCAACTACGTAATGTTTATGGGGATAAACAAATCTCAACACGCGGTCCAGTCAATTGGCCCCCACGGTCACCGGACTTGACACCGTTAGATTTTTTTGTTTGGGGGCACGTGAAAGACCGTGTTTATGTAACTCCAGTGTTCGATCTACAAGACTTACAGCTGAGGATATCTGCTGCATTTGATAGTATGGTTATTAAGTAAATATCTATAACACTTATTTAATTCCAATAAATACAAAACTGCAGTTCCAAAATAAATGAATGTGACGTTGATATGGCACTTTCATACTAATCCGTTTTTGTCATTTTGTCAAAAAATTGGACATTCAGCATATCTTAATCGTACCGAATTTCAAATCGTTATCTCAGGTCGTTTAAAAGTTATATAGTGTTCCCAATTTCTTTTGTCGCCCGGTATAGTAAGGACAATGCGGGACCCGATATAGAGCCCTATGGAAGACCCACGTTAATATTTGTTACAACAGAATACGCGGTGTTTTCTAATTGGACGTCAACATTTCAAGGGTGGAACGAATGAAACTAAGCGTAGGTATTTGTGAAAGAACGACAAAAAAATTAGCAAGTGATAGTGAGTAGTGTGTTTTCGTTGTTTCACCGACCTCCTTCCATCAGAGGGTTTTTGGCGTATCGAGCTGCCTAAAACATGCTTTTCACATAAAAAGTGTGAAACGTGGGATTCTGATAGGCGGTTGCTGGAGTAGGTTGATTATAAATTAAATACCATATTATAGACGTGGGACGTTGTACCTTCGATAAAGTGCTACAATTCGTGGGGACCGGTAGTATTAAATAATATTAAGTCATAGTCATTGACCCAAATCTTTATTGACACCTCATTTGAAAACATTTTAAACTTAAACTCGAGTCTCTCTATCTAATGATACCGTGTAACGGTCATAAATTAGCGTCGAATTGCATGTTACGGGCCTCCGCAGTACCAGCCTGTCCGCGTCGTTTAACCGCACGATGTCCTGCGCTCGTTACTCCATTTTGTCGCAAAAAAAAAATCGTTCTGCGCAGGTGCATTGAAAGCGTCCAGTTCGGCGGGCAACCTGGGCGTCCTAATACCGGTGATTGCGGTTCTGCTGCGCAGGTTGCCGCCCATCAGGAACCCGAAACCGCGGGTGCACAAAACGTTTCGGGACTTTTGGCTGTACTGCGTGATCATGGGCTTCACTGCGTCCGATTCCGGTGAGTATCGCGCGTATCGGACACGAGCGAAAGCAAGCCGGACGCTTCGCAGGCCTGTGGCCGCAGGAATGGTATGAGGGCGTGAAGGAGATCGCAGTAAAGTCGCCGGCGTTGGTGTCGCCGACTTCTAGCAGGGCGGAGATCCGCGAGCTGCAGTACACCAGCGCGGTGCGCAATGACAGCGTGTCCATTAACGAGCTGCAGGAATTGAAGAACCAGATCCTGGACCTGCTGAAGCATCCAGCCGACGTCACCGCTATCGTCAACGGAAAGCTTTCGTTCGCGCAGTGCACGTTCCTGCTCAGTGTATATTGGGTGGAGATGCTCAGGTATAGAGGGGGGCGGGGCCTACTTGAACGACCGCCGTTATGGGGTTTCGAAATAGTAAAAATAAACACATTTATCGCTTTGCCAAATACACATATTATTACACTACAAAATATAAGGTAAACAAGCCTCCATTTTAATGTAAACCAAATTACCCCAAGAACAAGAAAAAAAAAGAATCAAGTAAACAAAATTATGTTACGCAGAGTTTATAATACATTAATCATTAAATATAGTTTTCAATAAAGAGAGAATTCGCAGGACAAAGGAGAAAGGGAGAGGGTAGGGGTAAACAGCAGGGTGGTTTTCCGATACAGATATTATTGAGTTCCAAGAAAATATTTTTTATACCGGTATTTTAAAGTTTTTGTTATGGCGCATCATGCATCACGCAGTTCATTATTTATTAAGTTACACATTCTGTATAATATATTATGTCCTAGATTAGTGTAAGCTCTAGGAAGTTCAAAAGCTATTATTCCTTGTTAAATACGTAGGTACAATAAATCTTAATTCACTAATTATTCTGCCGCAAACCAATTTATACAAAAATATTGCTTCAGCAATTTTCCTTCTTTTTTCAAGTGTGCAAATCATCATTTCAAACGACATAGGGTACATCAAAATAATAAATATTACACCTCTTATAATAAAAAATTCATCTGAATCTTTTTCTAATTCCTCGTTTTATACAGAATAGTACGGACCCCAGATAATCGAACAATATTCGATAATACTCCTAACATGTGCATTATATAATAGATTCAACGTTTCCTTATTTTGAAAACCCGAAGAATTTCGAACCACAAAGCCTAACGTTTTGTAACCTTTTTTTGTTATGCTGTCTATATGTTTATTAAATTTTAATCCGGAAATCCGGAATCAAAAAGTACACCAAGATCCTTCATATCTATTTTTCGTTCTATTGTAATTTCTTTCATTTTACATTGATACATTATAAGACTTGATCTTCTGCTAAATGTCATAGCACAACATTTGCTGATATTGAAATTTAGTTTATTTGTTTCTGACCATTTGATTACTTCATTTAAGTCCTTTTGTCTACATCGAATTTTTCGAAATAATTTATAATCATCGGCAAAAAGAAGATTAAGTGAATTTGCTGCAGTTTGTGGCATGTCATTGATCAAAATGTCAAAGAAGAGTGGCCCAAGGTTCGAACCCTGCCGTATCCCCGAGTGAGCTGGAAAGGGCTCCGCAGAAGTTAGACCAAGGTAATGGCACATCTTAAGGACAATCATTTATTACTTGGAAAAAGGTTCAAAGACTAACGTCATATTTGCCGTTAAAGTTGTAGACCAAAAAGGATTAGATCGAAACGAGTGAGATTGACGACGAAGGAGATCAAAGCCAAGTTAGACGGAAAAAGAGTTATTTGTTACTTGAAGAAGGGTACAACGATAACAGCAGAACTTAACGCGCCATGATTGGGGAAAGAAATTGAATTAAAGTTCCTATTATTAAAATATCCAGCGTATTCACCAGATTTGAAGCTTGGTGACTATTTCTTGTTTTCGAACTTAAAGAAATAGCCTGTTTTTTTCCGCTTGCTGCAGGGTGCAGCATTCTGGCGAGCCGAGCATCATCTCGATGATATCCGAATACCTCGGCGATGCCGCTCTGCAGAAGGACAAGAGCGGCATGTGGAACTGCGTAGCGGCCGTGAGTGATCGCGTATTCGAAAAGTTCCTCGAGGTGATGAAAAACAGGCCGAAGGACGAGGCTCGAGAGGCCGACCTCGAGCAGCACGCCCAATTCCTCCTGGTTAACTTCAATCACACCCACAAGCAGGTCAGACGCATATCGGACAAGTACCTCGCCAGTCTGGTCGACAAATTCCCCCATCTGCTCTGGAGTAGGAAGTAAGTTTTTGTTCGTCGTTTGGTGCCGTGTCACGACGAGGTCGGCTTCAGGGTGCTGTGGACGATGCTCGACATCCTCCAGGTGCTGTCCTACTCGTTGGAGATCGATCCGAATCAGGAAACGCCGACTCTTAAAATCCCTCAGACCCCCTACGCGGTGCAACTGATGGACACGATAGAAGCGCGTGAATCCGTCATAAAAGACTTCGCCGACAATTCGGAGCGCATCATTAAGGAAGCGATGAGGTGGGCGGCCACTTGGACCCGGTCCCACATCCAGGAGTACATCAATCAGATTCCGAGCTCCGGCATGTGGCAACACGCGGGCCTCTCTCTCGCCCTGGAGTCTATCCTGCAATTCGGCCCTTTGAACTTATTCAATGCACCTCTGAGCACGACGACCCTGGTCAAACGACCCAAGTGCGTCAAGAGCGACTCGTCGAAGACAATCTCCACGTCGGCGATGAGGTCCAAGTATACGGGCGAGGTGATCGGCATGTTGTCGGTGTTCGACTCCGCTGACGGCAAAGACCAACTGGCGAAGCTAATCCTGGGCAAGGTGCGCGACGCGTGCGCGCAAAAGTCCGACTCTATGCACCGCGACGCCCTCTGGCAGGCGACGGCGCTCCTCGTTTACTGTTCCGACGCGGACCGCGATCTGCTGCAGTGCATCGCTTGGTCGCAGGTGGAGCTGTTCAGCGTCGAGGCTATGAGGACGTCGGTCGAGTGCTGGCAGTGGCTGATCACTTCCAAGCCTGACCTGGAGACGAGGTTCCTGCAGGAGATGGTCGCCGCGTGGAAATGTACCGTGCACAAGAAGCTCGGGCTGTTTTCGGCGTCGACTCCGCAGGCCAGTCCGTTGGCCGCTTACGAAGGTTCGTTTCGGGTCGTTGATGAGATTTGCCACTTTGTTTCGGATGTGTGCAACTTCAACGTTCGCGTTTTTCGATTGATTTTGATATTGTCTTCGGAACTCCCGGGATTTCCGTTTCTAATAACCTGTTTAACATTTTTCGCAGCTTGACGGTTTCATTTTAAAGTATTTATATGAGATTTATAAGAAACCTTAGCTTGTGTAACTCCAGCCTTGGTGGAATTTGTGTATTTGTATAATAATGGTACCCTGATGATATCTGCATTGAAACCACCTAGTTTAATTCTTCCAGTTCGTGTTTTTCAATCCCACTTCTGATGTCTCGGTTTGATGTCTTCGAAACTTCCGGGAGGTCCGTTTCTAATAACCCATTTCACATTTCACGAACTAACTAACGTTTCGCCAATCATCCTGCGTGGGCTTGACTGAATCCAGAAGTTTTATAAAACGTATTACAGTAGCCTGTGGAAGTTTCTTTGAAAAATTGACTTGTGTATCGGTCAGATTGAAGGTTTATTTTAAAGTAACGCATACTTATAAAGAGTTTATAAGCAAATTTAGCTTCACCGTGGGAGGTATTTTCCACTCTCGAGTATCGATCTGTGTGCTAGGCAGATCGAACGTTTCTTTGCTCGTCATAAAATTGGTTTGCCACTTGGTTTGGGTCGTGCATCTTTAACATTCTTGTTTTTCAATCCCACTTCTGACCTCTCGGTTTGATGTTGTCTTCGGAACTCCCAGGAGTTCCGGTTCTAATAACCCATTTCACATTTTTCTTCGCTTGACGGTTTTATTTGAAACTAACGAATATTTATATAAGGTTTATAGGAAACCTTATCTTGTATAACTTCAGCCCGAGTGCTATTTGTGTACTTCTATGGTTATGATACCCTAATGTATATGCACATCGAAACCAGCTAGTTTAATTCTTCCAGTTGTGCGTTTTCAAAGTTGGTGTTTTTCAGTCCCACTTCTGATGTCTCGGTTTGATGCTGTCTTCGGAACTCCCGGGTTCCGCTTATGTGTCCTTCCGTTTCTATTAACCCATTTAACATTTTTGACAGCTCGCAGTTTTTATTTGAAAGTAACCTGCCCGTGTGATATTTTCTCAGATTTTAAGTTTCTCGGGTTTTTTATAGCGCTCTTCAAAACTTCGTTATTATAAAACTTTTCCTCTTGGGGTTAAATTATGTTCAATACTCTACACACAAACTGAGTTACACTCTAAAAAGATAAAATTATCTATTGTAAGTTAAAAAGACGCTGTTATACGGGCGTTTTTTTTTTTAGAAAGATAATATAAAAATTCCGAGTTTGGTACGCGTGTAGGTTTAGAAATCGTCACTGGACAGTTTCAATAAGATGTCGTTGGTAAAAAGAAGACCCGATTTTTACAGAGTTGTATAGAGTACTCTGCTAAATCCTTATAAAACTTAGTAAATGTTCTACCGCTACTGCGAAACTTAAAGCTCGGTAACAAAGTTTGCTTTCGGACATCCCGGGTTTTCCACTTGTCTGAGGAAATGTGGCAGTTTGTAAGTCAATAAGACGCTGTTAGACGAGCGTCTAGTTTTCTAGTAAGAATACTTATGTCTCCGTAAAGTTCCCAGTTTCGTATGCTTATAAGTAGGTACGCTCGATCAAGCTTAACAGCTTTAGATATCCTCTCTGAAGAGCTTCAATACGATGAATATGCTGTTGATTAAAAAAAAAAGATTTTCTACGGCTACTGTAGAATTTAAAGCTCAGTAATGAACTTTTAACAGAGACGTAACAAAAAAACGTTAGTCGGTAAGAGCGATTCCGCACGTAGGTTGCCACCTGGAACCTGACGGTCCTTTCGTGAGTCCGCACGTCATCTGGGTGCAGTTCATTTGCGAACTCGTGGAGAGCGTCAAGTATAATAACTACGAGAAGGTCGAGATGATCGCGAGTCTGGTGCACCACTCGCTGTCGATGACGGTGGGCGCGGATCCGCCATGTCAAACGAGACACGTCTCCGCAATTGGCGTGCGTTTCAAGTGAGCTCCGAATTGCACCGTTAAAAACGCGAGCTGACGCTTCCTGCGTAGGTTGCTGACGTGCGGGTTGTCCCTTCTCCAAGGTGACATCTTGCCCAAGAGCCTCGCGAAGAACGTGCTACGCGAGCGCATCTACTGCAGCTGTCTCGATTACTTCTGCAAACCGCCTGCGTGCCCCACCCAAACCGCCGGCGAACTACGCGACGACGTCACCACCCTGATCCGTTTCTGGCAGATGCTGCACTCCGACAAGAAGTACCTGAAAGTGAGCGACGTCGGCGGTAAGCGCGAGGTGAGGGGCGTGTCCAGGTTGGAACTAGCTAGTTTGCAGATTTGGGCCCGTCGACGACGCCGCTGCCCGGCGTGCACTCCAACGAGCTCGCCAGGCCGGGAGACTTCAATCGCCCCGCCTCCGGCTGGATCAACACGGTACCGTTGTCGACTAGTACCGCTACGTTGAGCAAACGATCGACCAAGTCGTCGCGCAAACCTCCGAAGGCGGACAACTTCGTCAAGTGTTACCTGAAGAAGCGCAACCTCATCCTCGAGTTGCTCGCCGCCGAGATCGAGTTTCTACTGGTCTGGCACAACCCAACGTCGCGGTAAGTTAGCCACGCCCATTAAAATTCAAATTTGGGCAAGTTGGCCATTATTATATCGAAGTTCGTCTTTTTGATTGGATTACACAGCTTCGATAGTGGCTCCTCGCCTCCGGTTTGGATACGCCCAGCGAATGAAAACATAGTCTTGATAAACCTCCACATAGCTGTAGTACTTGTCTGGCTCTTCTTGCATTCAGTGTATTCCTTCGCATTCTCATTCCTAGGACCTTTCGTTTGTAGCTTAGCAGCTTAGATGGACTTTTGAGGAATTCTTTGGCTTCTCTTTGTCCCATCATGTCGCTTCGTCATTTGATGGCTGCGTTTGCAATGTGTTCAGCCATCCCACAAAAGGGTACAGGTCCATTTGACAACTGGCTTTGACGAGTTATGGTACCCACGAGAACCTTACTTTATTCTGACCCGCTATTTCGTTTAATACATTACGATAATCCAAAACACGTTCTATCTTGTATAACCACGTCCTTGGGGCGTATCCTATATGCTAGAGCCACGCCCCTTTGAGTCGTATCTATTCGTCTTGGCCACGTCCCTTAAATAGTTTGAAGGGGCGCGCAAAGGTCATTTTTTTTTTAATTGGTAACTTGGTGTTTGTTGTTTGTTTTTAAATTTGCATTTTGTAGTCTTCGAGAGCAAAGTAGAAGGCGTCAAGAAGTGTCAAGCGCTATAAAGGACAATTTCCAGAATATAACTGTACCGGGTGGCCCATTAATAAAGGACGCCGGTCGTGTCAGGAACCGTTAGTCAACTTAGAAAAAAGAATATTTATAAATAAATCGGCTCAGAGAAAAAGCTGGAAATTATTTTCAAGTTCATAAAATGGCCGCTAGGGGCGCAACCTCTACTGTGCAATAGAGATAATCAAGAGATGATATATTATGACGGGATGATAATTTATAATAAAGGTTTTTTTTGCTTTATATCTCAAAGGGGAAAAAAATATTGCCATGCTGTTTTCGATACTTGCTGTGTTTTTTTACGTTCTTTCATCCTAGCTAAAAGTATTTATAGAAATATATTTAAAATTTTCGAGAAAATCATAAAAATGCCTGTTTTTGACATGAAGCGCCTCCTACCGAATCGTAAAAGAATTAATATCGTGGTATTGACGCGCCAGTCGATGCTCCTATAAATACTCTTTAACACTAAACCAAGTTCGTCGAAATCGGATTAGCCAAAAAAAAGTTATTTAACTTTTTCTAAACCAGTATTTGACCCTTCCCCCACCCTTAATTTGACGAGATAGAAAAAAATTGTTCAAACAAAAAAGTTTCCTTATCTAGAATTTTGATGTCGGTTAATTTGAAATATTTTTCAGAAAACCGTTTTTTTTCTATTTTACAGTAGAGGTTACGCCCCCTAGCGGCTATTTTATGAACTTGTAAATAATTTCCTGCTTTTTCTCTTGACCCATTTACCTATAATTTTTTTTTCCAAGTTGTGGGACTAAACGGTTCCTGCGATATGACCGGCGTCCTTTATTAATGTTCCACCTGGTACAATCGAACGTAACTTTTTGGTTGGTTTAGGTAACCGTGACCTAGCTCCTGTTAAATTTTTTTCTTTCTTTGCCAATAGAAATAGAACAGCCAATTATAATCATTTTTGATTACACAATTTCGGTGGTCACCACGCATATTTCTTCTTTGTTGTCTTTTAACCCGGTTGGGAGGGGTGGGGGATGAACAAGTATCTTTTTAAAATTTCTAAATTAAAAAAAATATTTTTACGTCCAACACGGAAATATTTTAATCTAAATATTTACAATGCAATCAAGTTTTATTGCCGCCCAAGTTGCGATAAATTGCCTCAGCGGGGCGCGGCGAACGATCGTTTTGTAATCCCCAGGATCGAGCTTCAAATACCCGGCGAGGATAACATCGCCTCCTGGCGGACGAAAACGGTCACTGAGAAACAGTGGCAGGACTACACGCGTTTGGCGTGGGACGTGTCGCCCGTACTGGCCGTTTATCTCGCGACGCGGTTCAAAACGAACGAGGCCATCGTCGGCGAGATCAAGAACCAGGTCCAGGCGAACCCGACTGCGGTGTCCCACGTTCCCGAAGCGTTGCAGTACCTCGCGACGACCGAGGCCATCTTGACCGACAGTCCGAAGCTCGGTCACATGCTGACGTGGGCCCGGATCACTCCGATACAGGCGTTGGCCTACTTCAGCAGGCAGTTCCCGTCGCACCCGATCTCTGCGCAGTACGCCGTCAAAGTACTGAGCTCGTATCAGGCGGACGCGGTACTGTTTTACATCCCGCAGCTCGTCCAGAGTCTCAGACACGACAAGGTGAGCGGCAGGGGTGTTTCTCCTCTTTGATAGTTTTTCCAGGACTAGTTTGACGCCATTTTTAGAATTAGAGTACTTACAAGAACTTACTATCCGAGCAAAAGTATTTTACAGTAATATTTGTAGAAACTTGAAATTTTTATTTGAAATGTAAAGGGACCGTTTTAAATTTGATTTATCATTGATGCTGCGGGGTATTTTCGAATAAGTAGAAACGTTTAAATTGCGATATGTTCGTATATATCACGGAGGTATTTGACTGTAATCCTTCCAGTAAGTACGTATTTATATACCTTATTCTCGAGCGATGCTGAGGGTACGAGGGTGAGTACCTGTACTCTATTTATCTTACAGGTAAGTTTGAAAATAATCATTTTTGTCTTATGGTCCTGTCGATTAACAGCATTCTTTCGGTCGATTTGTCGACTTGTAAATAACAGCAGTTTTTTTTCAGACTGTAGATTATATTCAGATAGCACAACAAAAATCATGAGATTACTCCGGTATCATTGTATATTGAACCCGATTGAGATGGTTTGGTCTGAGTTGAAAGCGCATATAAGAAGAAATAACACTGCACCAAAATTTAGTGATAATACCATAAACGTAATTCAGCAAGAGGAAGCTAAAATATCAGTACCAAGCTGCTCATCTAACTGTAAAAAGCAAGTAATAAAAGAAGAAAATGTGACGATATTTTATTATGATATTTAATATTTTGTATATTAATAATGATACTATGTAGGAATGTAATGAAATAGAACGTAATAAATTGTTACTTTGTATTAATTTTTTTATATTCACGTTTCAAGAATTGCTAGGCGAAAAAGATTGAAAACAGACTTATATCCCGCTTGTAGGTAGATAAAATCCTAGGACGGTCCTGGAATGGTTAGGTGTAAGTGTCTGCTCGGCACCGTGTTCTATGAGGGACCGCAGTTTTGCATTAATAAACAATAGGCAAAGTTAATTGTAAAAGCACTATATTTCTGGTCGAAGTATAACTAACTAAACTAACTAGGTCGAACATGCTTTAAGCTATATTTAAAATCATAGGTATTCAACAGTGTTTCCTGACGAACAAATGGAGTGTTCAAGCCATAGTTTTGATATGTCTAAATGGACCACATTAAATAAATCCCCAATCCTCCTCCAGTTCTGAAAGGACGAAGCTTAAGTCAACGTCATCCTACAACTCGAAAACGTAACGTAAATCGGCTTGCAATTTTCGTGTTTCAGGAGTATAATCTGTATTACTATTAGCTTTGGGTACAGATTATTCTGTACAATGACTTTTTTGTTGCGTTGTAGAAGCCATAATGTTATCCCCAAATAGACCGCCACATCTTGTCCCCATCCCCATCTCTACGGACTCCCAAAGATTCACAAACCAGGATTACCCCTTCGACGTGTTGTCAGTACCATTGGTTTTCCCAACATATTCTCTAGCAAAATATCTAGCATTTCTCGCGCACCCCGTATTATAGAGTAAAACGGTATATGTTAAAATCGTAGCTTTTGACGCGGCCTAAAAGGGCCACAACAAAACTGCGCCTTTTGCCATGACTCGTGATTCACGACCACTGATTTGCTCCGAAAAATGGCAATTTTCATTTTTCTGTCACGCGTCTTACAGTTCAAGAATTTTTTCGATCGGTCGTACGTACCGTTTTCAAGAAGACATTTTTTTTTCTGTCCCGAAAAAACATTTTCAAATTGTTTTAAAAAATACTTCCGATCCGTCCGATCTCGTCCAGTTATAATGAGTTCCGTCGGTGAATAAAACTATTTTCATTTCAACTCGATAGCTCGAAATTTCTGACGCATTTTTGATTTCATAGCGATTTTCCGATCGGGCCGCTGCCCATCGCTTGGTATTACTATGGAGGAAAATTTGAAGTCTGTAATTGCAACCCTTCGAGTGTAATTCGGTTTCAAAAACTCCTCCAAGATCCGTTAGGGACAACGGAAAACACAAAAAAGCGTGTTTTTTGAGTGCCTTTGAAAATAAGTTTCTGGATGTATATATGTTTTCAAATTAAATGCTTTTGAGTTTGGTGGAAGTTCTCTAATTTGGCTGTCTATTTTGTTCGCAGTTCGAGTCGTACAAAAAAAATTCATATTACACCACAAAATGTCTCCGTTTTGTTTGAATTGAAGTAGGATGAATAGTTTTACTTTTTTTTTGTGCCGGCCCTCGTTTAAGGAGCGGCTTCCGCGTTTTCGACCATGTCCATAACACCCCGTATTTCTATCTCAGGTGGGCTACGTGACCGAATTCATAAAGTACATAGCGAAAAAGTCGCAAATCGTCGCCCACCAGCTCATCTGGAACATGAAAACCAACATGTACATGGACGAGGAGATGCAACAAAAAGATCGTAACGCCATCTACCTTTAGCGCGTCGTATTTGGACGTAAGTTTTGAACGTTTCAGCCGCGTTGTACGAAACGCTGGACGCTCTGGTGGGCAGCATCGTCGGCGAATTGTCCGGCCCGGCGAAGCTGTTCTACGAACGCGAGTTTGACTTTTTCGACAAGATCACAAACATCTCCGGCGAGATACGACCGTACCCCAAAGGACCGGAGAGACGTAGGGCGTGTCTCGAGGCTCTGAGCAAGGTCAAGGTGCAGCCCGGATGTTACCTGCCCAGTAATCCGGAGGCGATGGTGCTCGACATCGACTATAAGAGCGGCATACCAATGCAGAGCGCCGCCAAGGCGCCCTACCTCGCGCGTTTTAAGGTGGTCAGGTGCGGGATCATGGAACTGGAGAACGTCGCCATGGCGGTTTCGGTTAACGAGGTGAAGCAATGTTACGTTGGCGACTACCGTTTGTCTTGACTAGACGTTGATTACATCTAACCTCGACTTTTTGGCGTGTTTCCTTTGCTGAAAGACCCATTTCCCCGAACTATGTTTGCGAAGGGCCCCACTTGCCGATTACCGAATTCCCTCTCTAATCAATATTACCATGATCGGCCCAATTCTCTAAATTATCATTAGTTGACTTTCCGCAAGACCCATTTCCTAAATCTATTCGGATTTTCTCGGAATTCGCAAACTTACTGTTTCTCCAATTCCCCAAATAACTGTTCCCGAAGCCCCAAGCGCCTTACCGAATTTTGTTTCGAAGGATCGCATTCCCTCACTAATTAAGATTGCAATTAAGTGACGAAGCAAACCTTTTCGAAGGTCTCGATATGCAATATTACGAAAAACCCGAATCGTCATATATTTATTGAAATTTCCTTTGACGTCTTTTATCTTTTTATCTCCGACTGAATGCACAACGTCACTAGCGAAATTCCTTCGCGGAAGGACCTATTTCCCCGAACAAGCTTTGCAAAGGGGCCCAATTGCCGAGAACCGAATTTTCTCTCTAAAACTCGATTGACGTAATCAACTTCTACGACGGCCCAGTTTCCTAAATTATCGTCGGTTGGCTTTCCGAAAGACTCATTTCCTAAATCTATTCCCATTTTTTTTTTCAATTCGCAAACTTACCGTCTCAATGTTCCCATTCCTTGAATACGTATTTCAAAAGCACCAAATGCCGCGTCGAATTTTTTTTTTGGAAGGACCGAATGATCGTTCCTAAATCTATTCGGATTTTCTCTGAATTCGCAAAGATACCATTTGCAAATACCCGATCCCTTGAATGCCTCGCCGCAAGAGTATATTTTCCTCTCGCATTACAAAAATGACCTTATGGAACAAGCCTTTAAAAAAATGGTTTAAATTGCCGTCCCAGGACCCAATTCCTTAAATTATCGTTTCGAAACACCCGGATTCCCATCCGAAACTCCGAAAACTATTGTTACAGATACGCCGATTCGCAGCGTCACTTTCTTTTAATACCACTCTTGTTCCCTCGTTTTTGTGTTCCGGAAAATCGAAAAAGATTTTACTATTGCTTTCCCCGGCCCGTTTCAGACCGTCGACTTGAACATGGGGCCGGAGGTGTGGCAGGCGGCCATATTTAAGGTGGGCGACGACGTCCGCCAGGATATGCTGGCCCTGCAGGTGATCGGCATCTTCAAGAACGTGTTCCAGACGGTCGGCCTCGACCTCTACCTCTTTCCCTACAGGGTCGTCGCGACGGCGCCCGGCGTAAGCTAACTCGTCGTTTCGCGCGTCGCCGTCCCGATGCTATTTTTGCTTTGCAGTGCGGCGTGATCGAGTGCGTGCCGAACGCAAAGTCGCGCGATCAGCTCGGTCGTCAGACGGACATCGGTATGTACGAGTATTTCCTGAAGAAGTACGGCGACGAGAGCACCAAAGAGTTTCAGGCGGCGCGACGCAATTTCATCATCTCGATGGCCGCGTACAGCGTCGTCGGGTTTTTGTTGCAGATTAAGGACCGTCACAACGGCAACATCATGTTGGACAACGACGGTCATATTATTCACATCGGTACGTTCTCCTAATCCCCGATTCGACGGACCCAATTTCCCGTCGAAATTCCTTTGCGAAGGTGTCCAATTCCCTTGCCGGATTTTTTCTTCAAAGAACCGAATTCCCTCTCTGATGACCTTTATCTTGCGGAAGAATCCGACATAATCTGTCTAAAGGCCTATTTACCGCAATTAAATTACCAAGCCCACAAACTTTTTCGAAGTTCATGATTCCCTGTATTCGAAAAATTCCATCCAACGTTACTGAAATTGCCTTTTCGAAGGATTCGATTTCCGCAATTAACCAATCCTTCAATAAACCAATTTCTTCGCCGATTTCGTAAACTCACCGTTTTCAAGTGCCCGAATTAACTAAATGACTGTTTCGAATGCCCCAATTCCCTTAATTATAGTGTCGAAAGACTCGAACTCCATTTAACGAAATTGATTTCTTAAAAGACTCAATTTCCCTTGCTTGGCCCTCTCCGATCACCAAAATTAAAGTTTCGAAGTACCTGACATAGTGTTTTGAAAGGCCCACTTACCGCGATTTAACCACTAAGCCTCCAAACCTTTTCGAACGTCTAAACAATAAAACAAATAAATTCAGCGAAATTTCCATTTCTGAAGGACTCCGTTCAATAAGTACCTAGTTCCCTCAATTATCGTTTCGAAAGAATTTCTATCGATTCAACGCAGTTGTTTTAACAAGAGACCCAACTCCTAAACCTTTTTTTAAAGGCCCAATTCCCGTCCGAATTAGAAGTTTCCGAACCCCCGAATGCCCCAATTCTCTTGTTTGATTTTCTTTCCGGGGCGCCCAGTTCCTTATCCGATCACCAAAAGTTACTTTGTCAAAGTACTACTCTTTGAAAGGCCCGTTTATCGCCATTAAAGATCCGAATAAGTGCAGAGAAATTAGGATTTCAATGGACGCCATTCAATAAGTATCCTATACCTTTAATTATAGTTTCGAAAGACCCGAATTCCTATCCATTTAACGAAATTACTTTCCTGAGAGACCCAATTCCCCAAGCCTTTTTTCAGAGGCGCTATTCCTTCTTGGTTCCCCAATTCCCTTGCCTGGGCGCCGAGTTCCCTCTCCGATCACCAAAGTTATCGTTCCGAAGTACCCGCAGTAGTCTTTTTGAAAGGCCTATTTATCGCGATTAAACCATTAAGCCTCCAAACCTTTTCGAACATCCCTATTTCCGTCATTGGTTGTTCGAAAGACCCGAATAATTTCAGCGAAATTACCAATTCCGAAGGACAGTACCCAATTTGATCAATTATCATTCCGAAAAACCCAATCCTAAGCCTTTTTTTTATGAGTTCGATTCGCTTTCGGATTCGTGAACTTGCGAAGTATCCCAACTCCCTAAACGAATGACTGTTTTGAACGCCTCAATTCCATTGTCTAATTTTATTTTCTGGGCGAAGAGGCCCCTCTCCGATCACCAAAATTATCTAGCCGAACAACTCAAAATAACGTCGTCTTTGCCGAGATTTCCCAATTCCCAAAATTATTGTTTCAAAAGGCCTGAGTTCCCGTCGATGCGTTGTCATTATCACTTCGAACACCCCAATTCCCTCCCCGGCTATCTTCGAATAACAGTAATCCTTTCCGTCGCAGATTTCGGGTTCATGTTCGAGTCGTCGCCGGGTGGTAACTTAGGTTTCGAGCCCGACATCAAGCTGACCGACGAGATGGTCACGATAATGGGCGGCAAAATGGAGGCGGCGCCCTTTAAGTGGTTCTCCGAACTCTGCGTGCAGGCTTATCTCGCAGTGAGGTAAACACCACGTCTCTCCCACGCGAAATCGAGATATCCGGGGGCGGTTTTTTCTTCTAGACCGTACGAGGAGGCGATCATTTCGTTGGTGTCGCTGATGCTCGACACGGGTCTGCCCTGCTTCAGGGGCCAGACGATCAAACTGCTGCGGGGACGTTTCAACGCAGGCGCGAGCGACAAGGAGGCGGCCAACTACATGCTGAAGATCATACGCAACAGCTTCATCAATTTCCGGACTCGCACTTACGACATGATCCAGTATTACCAGAATCAGATCCCGTATTAATTAACTCGTTCGGTATGCTAGTCAATTGGTTGTCGTTTTTCTAGGGGTGGCGTCTTAACTTGTACATATGTTGTTATTGATGATGATAATGATGAAGTATATACTTTATTTAAAAAAAAAATATTTCGCACAATCTTTGAACCCAATGAATCTTTGACACCACGCCAGTCTTTTGTTTTATTAGCACCTGACGCCGCTGCGGGATACGTCACCAATGTGTAAACGCGTCCATAAACGTGGAAAGGGGGGCGGGGCAAATGAAAAAAAAAGGCAGCCTCAACAATGAAACTCTTATAATATTAAAAATAGTTTTACATAAAGGATTTTACAAAGAAAACTCGCCATATATGTATATAAATCATAACGATAACAACGATTATTATCCGCGTGTACACCACATTGTTTGTAAGTACCCTAAACGGAAACAAAAAAAAAATCTCGTCGGAACGCCCGCGTGCTTCGGAGTCGGCGAATCAAACTCGTCTCATGGGCTCGGTTGCATACGAAAAAATTTGCGCATGCCAATGATCTTGCGGCATTCAACCAGCAACATTAGAGCCTACTATCGTATTTAATAGCTAATAGTCATTCATGACATAAATCTGACTATATTCTTGTACGCGTTTTAGTTCTCAAATACCCCATTAAACAAGTTGTACCGCACATTATTACATGTTGTCAGAAGTGGGATGGTGGACCTGGCCGAATTTTATCATCCCACTTCTGACACCATGTAATAATGTATGATAACTTGTTTAATAATAATAACAAAACTTTTATAGTCACAAATTTAGCATTATATTAGAGTGGCATGACTTCTATGCCATCGCATGTCTTCCACGTTTTGTTTTAGTTCGAAACATTTTTTAAACGATGGATAGTTAGATCCGCCAAGTATGAAACACCCCGTAAGCAATCGATCCCGAACTATTGCGTCACGGAACGAACAATGTGCTCCTCCATAAGGCACTATGACGTACGGGAGGGGCAACTGGTCTATAACACCCTACTTTTGGTCCTTAGGAGGCGTGGCTACTTTTTTTTATCATGGATCTGGATCTGACAGTGTTGGGACGAGTGTTGTGGGCGTTTAATAGATTACCCCCGCCAGTTGCCCGTCCAGTATACGAATCAGTATTCAATTTACCTCGGGTCACATTACAACATGAAAAAGAAAAACGAAGGCTTAAATGCTGGGCGTGTTAGTAAGACAACGGAATTTCGCGTTTTGACAATTGTTTTTTTTTTTATTTATCGATTACGATTGCACCATTACACGACGGCGTCGGCGTCGACGTGAGCAAAATTTATACGTAACTATTACGTATTAAAACTACGTTACTTTGACTTGTCGTTTAAAACTAACCGTCTAGCTTCTTCAGGTAACTTCTCAGGTTCGGACAGGATGTCCGTTTTTGTGCACAGGTACCTTAGCGAATTTAGAACCACTGAAAAACGAAAACCAACGCCGCAATAAAAAATAGTCATTGGTGCTACGCGTGGGCTATTTTCTCACAACCCGAACAGACCCAACTCGGTTTAGCACTCCTATCCACAAATTATTTTATTATTTTTTTTAATAGACCATTAAATATTTGCAATGCAGTGTTTTACCCAACCAAAGAGTAAACTGTACTTACGAGGTGTGTTCAAAAAGTAAGGTGACTTTTGTAATTGGGCGGGCTATGTACAGACTGCCCTGTTTAAGAGGATCTATACCATTTATCTCGAAACCTACGGGGGTTACAAAAAAAATACAAAAGTTGTTTCTATTAAAATGCCTTTTTTTTATATTCCTAATCGTATTTTTTGAAACTTTTTTCCGTCTATCATTTTTAGGAAAATTATGCTTTTGTTTAGGCAATGATCTATTTTTTTCTTGAAATACGCGGTGTCGCCACGTTTCGTAAAATGAAAAGCATTATTTTCGTAAAAATAATAGATGCAAAAAAGTTTAAAAATTAATAAGCAATCTAACAATGATAGTTTAAACATAACCAAAATTCTGAAGATGATCGCCAATAAGTTCTAAACGGTGCATCACAGACCGATACTCATATATATCGTTGAATTTGTCTTTGAAATGACTAAAAAAGGAGATAATGGAAAAATCGCTGGAAGAACTCAAGGCTATACCAGAAAGTGCTGCGAGAATTGGAAAAAACGTGGGCAGAAGTGTATCATATCTGAAGGGGATTGCTTTGAAGGGGACTACATTAATTTTGATTACTTTTTGAACACACGTTGTATAGAATAACGAGAATAAAACTGGGCGGAGCTTATATGGGCACCGCCAATCGTGAGGGGTCGTCGTTTGTTTTTCCGTGGGAAAATGCCAGCAAAACTCACCTGGTCTGAGATTGACTAGCGTGCAGTGCTGCTCGATCCAGTGCATCGTTGACGAGTACAGCTCGTCCAAGTTGGTCGTCGACACGAAATTGTTGAACGGATTCAGCAGCGGCCTAAATATCAGACTGAACTGGGAAGGCGTTAAGGGAACCATACACGCGCGGGCACACCCCCTGTTAAAACCCACACCCCGAAAAGGATACGATCCAAAACTTCCAATTCTCCATGGTGCGTCGACTGACGTATTCGTCGAACATTTCCTGCATCTTGCTGTCCCGCCTGCGGGACACAGGGGCGCCGGTCGCGGGCAGCAACGACTGGCAATTGCTGCAAGGCGTGGGATATGTGTCTGATTTCACAAAATGTTAAAAATAACCGCTTCATTCACTTGAAAGATATGTGGAAAGATATTTGACTCATCTTGTATAATTTAAATTGTATTAAATTGATTATACAACAAAATAGCTTCAGTTACGCGTAATTAATCTATTCTGTTACCGTCGCCTACCAACTGCATTGGACGTCGTATCTCGCGCGCACTGTACTATAGACAATAATCGTAAATGCAAAAATTGCAGTTCTAGACCGGCCTATAAGGACGTTAAGCTTCGGCGCGATCAACGATTAGTTAGTTACGATCAAAAAATTATTCCGAAAAATGACAATTTTCTGATCATTTCTGTACCAATGGCGGTCCTTTAGAGATCTGGATCTGGAGTTTAGTGAGGAGCGCGTATAGTTTAAGAATCGATTTAATCGATTTTTAGAAAGTAACAAGTCCCAGCCGGGGACGTAACTCTAACTGGCTGCCGAATTTCCAGTCGACGGCTCGAAATTTGGGACGTTTACTTCGCTCGGTAGCGATTTCTGAAACGAAAACCGAAAATAGCCGAACAAAATGGCCGCCGATGTCCGATCGAGTCGATATTGTCCGGTGCGCTGCGCATCGCCTACTATTAGTACCGAGGAAAATTCGAAGCTCGTAGTTCCGACCGTTCGGAAATTATCGGGCTTCGAAATAATCTCAAAAGTCCGTTACAGAGAACAGACAAACGGACCCCGCCCCTATATCTATACCTAATGGACGCGTTCAACGCATCTATCTGTTGCCGCAGCGAGTCCATCTCCTCCTTGAGCTGGGTGCGTTCGGCGCGCAGCTGCCGTATGTATTCCGCGCCCTTTTGCAACATGGCCGCCTTGCTCAGCTGAGAACAAAACGTTCGTTACGGTTTTGGACGCCGGGCCGCGTACCCCGCCTCCGTACCTTCGCGTTCGGGTTCTGGTTCAGGTGCGGGATGAGCGAGTTGATCATGTCGAAGCCGTTTTTGATGTTGTAGCGGCGCTTCTGCTCGGCGTGGATGTGGCCGACGCGACGATCCCGGCCGTCGCGGCTCGGCGAGCCTATCGAGCCCTGCGATGACGTCGGCGAGTGGAGCACCTGGGGACTCGTGTCGAGCACCGGACTGCTCGAGTTGCTGTACGTTGTCAAGATCAACTGAAAGCCCCGCCCCCGCAATTTACACGCGCAATCGATTCCACTTACCTTAAAAAAGTCCCTTTCCCCCCCTTTTTTCTTAATAAATGAGACTCTTAAGATTTCCTTATGGCCGGCCTCCGCAACTTACCGGATCGGTGTTAGGTTGCATCGGCATCGTCGTGATGGTTATCTGCGACGGTAACGAGATCAGGGTACCGGACGAAGGTTGCGTCATCAGCGTCACGGGGTTCGCCTCCTCCTTGATACGCAACTGACCGGACACCTCCAGGGACGAGCCGCCACTGGCGGCACCCCCTTGGTTCTGGCCGTACAGCGCAGAGTTAAGGGTGCTGCCTGCGATACACGCCCACACATTAAACGTCGCAATACTCGTCGTCAGTGCTGACGTCACAATTTAAGGTTGGGTTAATTTCAGGCGCAAAAATGAACTTATTTGACATTAATACACAAGATATTCTGGTTAGTTTCGAAGTCGCACCCTTCTTTACCAAAGTCTCTATTCCTGAAACTCACAACATCTTTTCAGATATATTAAAATCCGAGAATCGGGAACCAAACCTTATCACCTTCATTGAACATATCTTTCTTATAACGGTGAAATTTTTGAACAAACGAACAGCTATGGGTTTTCCACTATCACGGAAGTCTTTGAGAAGAAAACTCTCGACACCTGGAAGCGTTACGTCGATGATACTTTTGTTATTTGGTCTCATGGTCAAGAAACCCTAGTAAATGCTGGCGTTCTAGTTGTTCAACTTCACGCTTGACTACAGCCCGAGCGCCGTCGCCTAGTATATAAACGTTGTAGCCTTAGAATTAAGTTTAGTTTACACTTGATAACACTGTCCGAAACGTTGTGTAAGTTAAAATTAAAGACAATGGAAGTTCGACTTCCTTTTAGTATTTCTACTGAACCACCTTCAAGCAAACATACGTTTTACCATTGAATTAGAAACTAATAATAACCACCCATTCTTAAATATTCTTATCAATAGAAAATCAGACCTAACATTGGGTCATTGTGTTTACAGAAAACCTACAGCCACAGATCGATTCCTTAATGCATTGTCACATCACCATCAGGCCCAAAAATCATCGGTTATCAACTCTGTTGTTTGCAGAACTTTAAAACTATCTCTTACCTTTTAACACTTTTATAAATTTAACACACTCAAAATGCTACCCAACCTTAAACTATGACGTTAGACTAATAACGCGTATCTCACCGCGACGGGCGGAGCTTATATGCGTTTTGGTCCGCCCACTTACCGCTCGTCAGCAATTGGGTGAGCAGAGCGTTCGTCGACGCGGACGTCAATAGCGACGGATCGCTGACCGCGGACAACAGCGGCGGCCTTTTGATCGGTTCGCGAGTGTTCGACCTCGACCGACCTCGGCCGCGATGCGAGCCACGCCCCCTCTGGTCCGAAGGTTTCGCGCTCTCGTGCGACTGCAATTTTTCGACCATCTTTTCGGTATTTAACGGTTGCCGCGACCGAATTATCCGCGATTTTCACTTTTTTTTTATACGAGGTGTTATCAAAATATATCATATAATGTGGCTGGTGAATTTTTGTTTGTTTGTTTGTTCCTTTAGAGACTTATTGTTGTAGTCGTTATTTCAGTCGAAGATTATGTTTTCATTTTATATATTTTGTATGACAAAATGGAGGGAAATGAATGACACTTTAATGACGGTGTAATTACAAAATACTTACTTTACACATAAACGTCGACTAGCTTTTAGGCTAGACTTTGCCTTTTGAGGCCTGCAGTAGTCAAATAGTTGTTATATTTTCTTTCAATTGAAAATTTTGTTGTCAATTTTGATCATTTAAGAAAATGAACCATGTGTTAAGGAACGTGTAATTCAAACATAGGTTAAGTAGCTTCTAGGCGGCTTTTGAGGCTTGTAGTAGTTGGGTAGTTGTTATATTTTCTTCCAGAACAACTAATATTGTTATTATTTTTCCCGAATACCAGGCCGCAATCGATTAACTAGCATTTTTGCCATATTCTCTATCGACCACGAGACACATTAGTAAAATTCGATAACGTCATTTCGATAACACGTCCCATAAAAATGGCGGGAGACTTACGAACGACGCGACGCTCGACGGCCTACTATAGTGAGGCGTCGGGACGGCGGCCGTCTGCTGCTGCGTAAACTTGACGTTGGGCCTCGCGGGCTCCGCAAACTTGTAACCTTGCGGTCGGGGCTGGGAGGGGGCGGTGACGATGTCCGTCCGCTCCTTGGACGCCGTCTGCGTTGCGTAACTCGGATACGGCTCTGCCTTCACGAAGGCGGTTTGCCGATCGTGCTTCGAATGGGGGCGAAGCTCGCTCGAGCCACGCCCCTGCGCGCCGCCGTACTGGTCGGAGTGAGGCGGTGCGACCAGACCGTCGTAAGGGGGCGGGGAGATCATCTGCAGCTGCGAGTACGGGTTCACGTCCGATATCTGCCATATACAAAAAAAATGAATGGCGAGGGATGGCGGAGAGCGTTTGGTTTACCTGCAGCGACGACGTCACGGACATGCCCTCGATGTAGCCCCATCCGACAGAGGAGTGGGACGACTGTTCTTCAGGTACGGTGGGTAGTTTGCTGTTTATTAATTCTGCATGCGGAGGAGAGAGAGAGAAAGATGGAGATAGAATACAACCGACGAAAATAAAAAAAAAACTTTTTTTTTTTAAATTTTAGATGAAATATTTCTTAAATATAACTAGGGCACACTGCAAATTGTTTAAAAAAGCATAAGATTTAGTTGCTCTAAACGTTAGGGCACAAAACATTAAAAAAAAAACAAGTTTAACTAAGTGTTGATCTTAATAAGCTTTCACGGGTTTCAAGGTTAAGGTACCTTTAGGAAAAGGAATGTACTAGCAATAATTGCCCAAATCGGAAGGAAAGAGTAGATTTTTTGTAGTAAGTATGATGTTGCTCGGGCGTGACAGGTCGGTACATTTGAACTACTTCGTATGCCTGACATATAAGTCTTCAAGATTTTCATTGCATTAAGTTAAAATATTATTTTGTCTCTCCTGTAAATTTTATTTTTCTCAGAAGTGTAGAAGACAACACGACGAAGAATATAAGGGTTTAACAATAGCTAAAACGCATAAAGAAAAAAAAAACATTTCCAGTTGCATCCAAGCATCGACCGGTGACCGGTGTATTACAAAAGTAAGTAGAAGTGATTCGTAACTTCCGCACCCACCGCCCCACCAACGTTTTTTTTTAGACGAATAGTAAATGTTTGAGGGAGACGGAGCTGAAGAAGGGTACATGAACATTGGCTCGGGTGACTCATAAACAGATACACAGTAGGAGTCTCATTATTGAAAACCGGGCGTTTAGTTTTTCTCTTTATAAGGTGTATTTTCTTCCGCTAATTTACATTTTGATTTTGCGAAGTTCGAGAGCAAAGCAATGGCACTATCATTATTTGCCACAAAATTGTCTGTAAAACACGCCTAAAATGCAACTTTAAAGATCAATCTGAAGCTCTTCAGATAGTTTAAGTGAAGTTAAAGTTTACTCTTGCCTTTTCTACCGCCCAACTAACCATAAATAACCTCTTAATCCAGTCAAAATAGACAAAAATAAGTCAAAACTTACTTATAGATCATACAATTCACTACAAAAATTGTTCAGACACTTTTTTTCCATTTTTATTATTCCATTATTAGAAAATTCATATTTCACGTAATATGCACACATTTCTGCACCACCTATGAGGTAATGTAGGTGGCGAATTTTTTTAAACGTGATTTCCCAGGTCAGTATACTCCAGATCGTATCCTATTAATTGAAAGTATGGTAATATTAATAACTTTCAAAGTGGGATAGGTTTTCTTCTAGATGTTGTTACAATAGATAACTGTATATTTCTACTTCAACAATTATTTCTTCGTCTTCATTTATTTACCTTGTAAAGGGTCGAACGTGTCCATGCAGTCGTCGAGGTTGGGCTGCAACGGTCCCAAACTCGGCTGGATGAAGTCCGCGAGACCCGCTCTCGCTGCAACAGTGAAAAAAAATCAACCCTGCCGTACCCTTAGCGCCATCTAGCGGCCGTCCCCGTTACCGATTTCTCTCGAGTCCGGGAACACGAACGGCTGATTGGTGATCGTCGAGAACAAGGTGTCGCTCATCAGGTCCATGTAGTCTTCGTCCACCATCATGTTCATGTGGTCCGTGCTGTTCGACTCCCACAGCAAATGGTCGATGTCGTTCAGCTACAAGTTTTTTTACGCGGAACTAGGACGTGGGGTGGGGTCGCGGTGGTCGTAGTGCGTTTCCTTACCCTTTCGGAACTGGTCCGCGGGGTGTTGCCCAACAGATTGTTCCGGTAGAACATGCGCCATTTTTTGTACTCAGCGGTGACCGCGGCCAGTTTCCGTTTCCAGTATTTGCCCTCGAGCACAATCGCCTGCAACGACGATATATATATATATATATATATATATATATATATATATATATATATATATATATATATATATATATATATATATATATATATATATATATATATATATATATATATATATATATATATATATATATATATATATATATATATATACGGGGTGTTTTCTAAATAAATGCCGATAAAGGGAGTCGAAAAATATTTTTTTAATTGAACAGGTTGGCTACCACTGATTTAGCGTATAGTCTATCACAATCCCCATCGTGCTGGCTTTTGCCCGCAATTATGGAAGTTACCTGCCGAACATGAGGGCCGGACTCTTAAAGATTTTGGTGGTAATATAATTTTTTTTGCTTATTTAGGTGGGTATTGATCTTATTAAATTACACTAAGGAAAACAATTACATTAAATATTTACAATAAATTCATAGCTAATATTTACATTTTTATTCTGGATACTTTCACTACAGGCAATATTATAAGATATAAAATATTTTCTTGTGATTAATGGCCAAATTTCATTTAAGTGTCTTAATTTTTTGAGGCCTCTTTAGAGGGTTTCTATGAAATGGACGTTCGATTTTTGAAACTACGACCGAACTACGCCACTGATAAAATATTAAAAATAAACCGCGGCAAAAAGTGAGGTCACGAATCGACTTTTTGCTAAACGCCTGACCGAAGATGGCTCGGTTGGCGGGTGTTATTTGTGTTTGTCTGGACTTTAGCGATAAATACTAATGTGCTGGCAAATTGCCTAAGAGTAGAGAAAAAAAAAACTCCCACCTCCGGTTTGTTGTGGGTGTCGACATCTAGCGGCGACGCGAACTGGCAAATCAACGTGTTCTCCTTCTTGATGACTGAAACAGACAAAAGAGCGTCACCAAGGGCGGACGCGCACGCGCGTGACCTACATTGCAAATGCCAGCATCTCCAGATGACGTTGTTTAGACGTATTTTGTCCTTCCACCGCAGCCTGATGCCGCGAAATCTGTTCCATTTCGGTGACGTAAGTTTTTGCCTGAAAGGACGCATAAAAAAATACCCAATAAACGCGGTGTTTTTTTCTTTTAATTTCGTCAATTTGTTTTTTAATTTTAATTGATTTTTATTTTAATTTGAGAATATACGTAGTTCCCGTTATTTTTGAAACAACTACAAAATATTTTAATGCCACTATAAACAATATACCACAATAAACATACGAAAAACATTAGGTGAAAACATTTAAATGGCTGGAAGACAAGAAAATTGCACAGGGCAGTTTTACATTAAAACAACAGGTCCGAATAAATCTGGATGTAGAGCGATTTGTAAAATGTGTAAAAAGACGTGAAGCACTTATTTCATTTTTACTTAACTTTCCATCAAGGGTATTCACCAAAAACGTTTTCAAAAGAATTAAGTCATTTATTATTTAAAAAATGTCATGCTCCTTATGTTTTCTCTTGAACTCGCATGCATATTTTATTTATATTTTTTCGATACTTACTTACATAAAAAAAGTATTTTGTATTCATATCGTACAATTTCGTAGTATTTTGTTTTCATATAGTATAATCTTAGGAAAGACTGTATACTATTTTCAACGTACTTAAAAAAAAAAGTTAACCGTATAAATCTTATAAAATCCAATAAACCCTTTACTATTTTTTTCAAAGAAAATTGGGCGCGAATTTGGTTTATCATTTATCAACAATGGTATAAATTTATAAATTATGTTTTTGCCCTTTTTATTTTCTTTTTCGGATGAAATAATAAAAAACGTAAATGGAATACAGTGCCGGCCGTCACAAAAAACCGCTGTGCATATTATTATGTTATTTATCTTATTTTTTTAAAGACTCGGGTTTTATGTGTGATAATATGTTTACGTTGTGCTTTTTTTGTTAGTCTAAATAAAAAAATATTAAAAAAAATAGGAGTTTGATTTGGATCAGCCCAACCCTGCTCAACATCAACCGAATAATTCGAATATTAAAAAATATTCATAGCATCTTAAATGGACCACATTGTTTTAAGGTTCTAGAAGTAACCTAAAAGTACTTCGCGCCTTTCACCTTTCTTTAGAGAATAAAATGCCTTCAGAACCGTATTTATTCGAAATCTCACTATTAATCGTCAAACGGCAGTGTACAAAAATGTCAAATTTTGGCATAATAACAATATGGAGTACGACGCCCAGAAAACCAACCAGGAATTAGGCAAGCACTGTCGAACCAAACGCTACCAAATAAATACGTTTATTTTATTTTTTTTGTCCCCGGGTCAAGGAACTACGATAAAACTCCCGCTAATTACAAACGAAAAAGTCCACGTTTCTAGCGATAAAGGTTCATATTTCGGCGAATTTTGTTTTTTACAAATTATAATTAATAACCTAACTTTTTTATCTATAGGCCATATCATTCGCAAGTAATTTTTTTTCGGTTAGACGGCAACAAATCGCCAAGTCATCTTGGAATTAGATAACACAACCGAATCTCGATGTTTGCTTAGTGGATGAGAATTGTTATGTAAATGTGTAATTTTGAACCAGCCAATTGTAAAGGCATTGTTTTAATTTACTTTGTTTGCTCCGAAAATTATCAACACTTGTTTACCTGTCCCCGATATGAATAAAATCTAATCAATAACCGTAAATACACTATAAATTCGGAAAGACACGAATTTCTATGCATCAGCACCACAAGTGGCTATTTACTTTTACAACCCAACAATCCTAGTCGAGTTAACAGATAAAGCTTGCTAGAGCCTTTTCCGCGCTACTTTTCATTGAAACACGCATTATGATAACTAAGGTCAAGTAACTAAATTGATAGCCCCACCTGTACGCCAACGACATGCACTGAAACAATTTGGACAGGCTCGTATCTATCGCCAGTTGTTGTTGCGTTTTCGTGGTTTCCGAGAACTCCAAAATTCCGTGCGTCAAGGTTTTAACTGGCACGATCGTCTTAGACTCAATCGCTTCCGGTATGGGAACGGCCACATTGTCCTCGTCGTCCTGTTCTTCAGCCTCGAAATGAGACACCATAAAGTGTCCCGAGTGTATGGATTCCCTCTCTCTTTGCGGCTTTTCCGACTTGTCCATGTATTGTATGGTGAACATTTTTTTGTTTGTTGACAAATGCTCTAAAAACGGCACATCTTCGGTAGCTCTCCGCGCGTTTCGTACACTGGAAATTACGTTAAAGATGCTGCTGCTGCTCTTATCACTTTCGAAAAGATCAAGGACTGATAGAAGGGTCACCACATAACTAGCAGTAATTGTTGTTTTTCCACAAATAACTTAATAATTTTGACAACAATACCATAGATTCCAAAACTTTTGAACTACGATCTAAACAGCTGGATCCTCTTGCCAGAGATAATACGCGTCTATTTCCGTGTATACAAACTCCAACATCAAAGCGGTGAACGAATGGTCGTTGTAATCTTGCCCAAGGTTCAGTCGGTTCGTGGATGAAACTAACCCATTGATACTTTGTGGTAAATTCCAACCTTCAAATTGGATGTAATGTTTACAATTTTGATAAAAAAATATGTTTTTCTCCGACTTGCCGAGTATTATCAGACCTAATTCGACGACAGAAAGGTCAACGCGAAAAATGTTTACTTAAATTCGTTCTCGAACACAATAAAATGGCATTCTCGTCGCTCGGATGGATTTCTCTGATTGTTTTCTTGTTTTTTTCTACTTTCGGGGCGTATCTCCTCGCGCTCAGTGTCAGTACTTTAACAGTCTTTTTGGTGGGGTACGTGATATTTATTCGCCAATTATATCCCCTCACCTTTCGCCGTATTTTAGAATGTTTTCCTTTTTGTACTTAAAGTTGGGAAACGTCGAACAGTTTTACGTAAAATGCGCGGGCAATCCGCTGACGAACGTGTCTTCATCGAAAGGCGGCTTGAACGCGATCCGAAACGTGGTTTCCGGTCCGAAAGAACCCCAGAAAAGGGACAGCAGGGTTACCGGCAGCGACCTAATTGACAAATCCCTACAGGATATTTTGGGTTACATCGTTAGGGATTATATCGAGCCGTGGTACAATTTAATATCGGCGAACGCGGAATTCACGGATTCCGCCGTGAGACACACGGCGCAATCGTTCGCCATAAACATTTCAAACAGGTGAATACTCGGCCTTGTTACGGTTTTGAGGTTAGAAGCTTTTTCCTAGGGTGAAGGAGATCGATTGGATACCGTACTTAACCCAAAGGTTAGTAGATGACGCGGCCTCGCACTTGAGGCTGTTTAAACAAGCCAGGACGAAGATGAAACAACAAGAGAGCCTAGCGGAACACGCCAGGCAATCCCAGATGAGAGATGTCCGAATGTCGCCTAAACGGACCATGCATAAACGAAACAAAAGCGAGACGGACGTGTCCTGGTACATCGGGAGAAATAGTGACTTAAAACGAGGTAAATATGGTATAGTTCCTTGTGTTTATTCAGGGAATGACACTCGGTTTGGAGATTCGGCCAAAGCGACGGGCGTTTCGAAAAAACCCACGCTCGAGGAGCATTTTTTCGAGCTCGAGTGCCAAATGGAGAAAAATTTAGTATGTAGGGACGTCGTTTGTATGGATAAGTGCACTGAAGAAGGTACGTTCGAACGCGACCGGTCCCTTATAAATCTTCGAGGGTGTTTTTTAGAGTTTTTGAGCGAGCTAGTGGAAATCTTACTGTACGTCTTGCTGCCTGATGAGGATTTCCAGTGCAAGGTGCTGCGATACATGCTACGCGACGTTTTCGCCAACGGAGTGCTGCGCCCCCTTTTCGATTTGTTTTGCGACCCCGATTACATCAATCAGATCATCATTTGGCTCGTAAGTCTTAAGTCTATGAGCGAGCCGAAGGGCTGCCTGATACGTTTTTTCCAGTGTCTACAGAATTCTAGTCTGTCGAGTGATATTTTCCTTACCGTTCTGAGATTATCCGAGAACTCCGAAGAGCTCAGGAGCGTTAAAGACTTAGTTTGCGACGAGATGCAAAATTTGGTAAGCTTACAGTGAGTAAGGAGAATAAAATTGGGCAAAAAAAAAGGTTCTTATAATTCCACATAGTGGCGTTTTTCGAAAATAAACAAAATCTGGCAACGCCGCTTTTCGTTAGTCGAATTCGAAAACGGGGCAACTCCGCCCCTCCCTAAAGAGACGTTTCCGTTATATTTACTCGAAGACCTATATAAAAAGTAAAAACGACACTACTAAAAACGATTGTTTAAAGGAAACCAATATTAACCAAAATATTGCGTTTTTCCCGTTTTTTTTTTTATGAAGTTACAGGAAGAAATCGAATTTCAATGATACTGTGCGAGGTATAGTGCTTTCGCAATTAAACGGTTTTGACTTAATGACGGCGATTAAAAGTGGCGCCACCAGCAGTCATTAATAAGTAAGTGCTAATTTAAAAAAAAAAATTAGTCTTAATTTCTCAACTGGTGCGTTTTTTTTTTGAAATATGGATTATTATTAGGCAATGGTATACAAAATTATTCTCCCATTTGAGGCGTGCAGTGCAGTGTTCACGAAATATTTGGAAAAACTTGGTTAGCCGTTACTCGGGAAAAATTTTAAGTAAACGTGGCAACTCCGCCTCTGCCTAAACTGACCTTTCAGTTATGCTTCTCCCAAGATCCATTTAACAAAAAAACGAGGCAATTAAAACGAATGGCTATAGGAAACGGACTAATATTAACCAAAATATTACATTTGTCCTGTTTTTTAAAATGAAGTTACAGAAAAAAAAACAATTTTGATTATATTTCGACGATACTGTGCGAGGTATAGTGCTTTCGCAAATAAACGGTTTTTACTTAACGACGGCGATAAAAAGTGGCGCCACCTGCAGCCATAAGTAAGTAGTAGTTATTTTTTAAATTCAGTATTAATTTCTCAATTATCGCGTTGTTGATTAATATTGATTATTATTAGGCAATAGTTAATGCGTTATTTGAAAAAATCTGGTTAACCATTACTGCAGACAATTTCTATGATACTATTAAACCCTTTATAATCATTTCAGATAAAGATGACGACAGCGACTCAGGACTCTATATCGAATAATATAAGTAACATTTTACAAGTTGTTTTGTTGAATTTTTGCATGTCCATAAGTCAATTACTCGCGTTTTAAATCGGTAGGTATTATTTCCTTTGCGCAGAACGGCCCTGAATTATATCTTTTGACGTTGCACAGTTATAAGCCAAAACCAAAACGAAAGTGCCATACAGTTCGCATGTAAACTTTTAATTAAATAATATCGATGCCTATATGGTCCGTGATCGCACGTCTAGAAGCGGTCATAGACTGTAGATTAACATCCGCCATTGTAAAACTGATAAAATATTGTAACTGCGAAGAAAGAAGAAGAAAAAAAGCGTATTCCGATGCAAACGTATGTAATGTTGAAGATATAAACAGTCATTTTGTAAAATCTGTTCCCCGATGGTTATACTACTTACAAAACTTCTGGATTCCTCCTACGTCGGTTGTGGTCGAAAATGTTTTTTTAAATAGTATCAAAATTATGAAGACTGGCGAGTATAGAAACTGGTCTTCGTCACATACGGTCCGTGCCATGCTTGAAACCTAATCGTGTTCGCGGCGTTGCCGCGCGTCTTATGAAATATTTTGTTTTTACAGCGGTATCTGTGATTAGCTTTGCCTTATGTTTATTACTCGCAGCAGACCCTTACCCGTAACCATTCCAGGACCGTCCTAGGAATTTATCTACCTACACTAACAACCGGGATATGAGGGCTGCGTTTTATATTTCGGGTTTTTATAGGGAAGTTTGACATTTTGAGGTTAGGTTTACTCAGGTTTTGGCGAAAGAGTGTGTGCACCATCTAGGACTACTGTTTATCGCTGGTTTTCGGACTTCAGTCGCGGTCGTAGTTTTCTTAAGGATGAATATTGTGAAGGTCGTCCAAAATCGAAATGGCTTCTTCAGAGCTTGACAGTTTCAGTCAGGTTTTCATCTTTTTCAAGCCTCCTAATTAAGATATCGAATGTAGGCACGCTTTGTTCCTCGTATAACTGGTAAATTTTACGCCGTATTATATCTTGATCACTTTCATCTACACTCGAGAAAATGTCAGCATCGCTGCTTTTTTTCCTTGCTGAAATGGGATTATTCACAATTTTCCATACAGTTGATGTTGGAATTTTCGTCAATGTGGCCGTTTCTTCTAAAGATGATTTGCTGGCACCACATTCAATGAGAGTCAAATAAACATTATTTATAACTTTCTTAGTGTCAATAGAATAGTGTTTTCTACATTTGGGCGGGAGCATCTCCTGAGATACACTAGACTCGCACATATTTTGCATAATTCGCACACGATTCAACACACGCTGTATTACATACGAAATAAGAATGATTACTAATAAACGTAGTATATCAAACCAAAGAATATTAAACACAGGTAGGTATAAAATTATTTTCTATTACGGACCACAATTTTACCTGAATTTAAATTCCGAAACTTTAGGTAATAATTTTGTTGCATTGTTTGTTAATGACCACCCTTGGATAATGCCATCCAAAAGCAATTGGTCACTTTCTTGTATCTATGAACACACCATATCCTTTGAATTATAGGTACATAAATTCTTACTTACTTTAATGATCCCTGTCAAATACGCCCGTAGTATATACGAACATATTGCAATTTAGATTAAACTCTTATCACCTGATGTTAAAATCAACGCTTCCATTTATTCCAAAAATTGGATTACGTTTCAAATAAAAGTTTCAAGTTTCTACAAATATTCGTTACGGTCCATCTCAGGCAAGATGCACTTAATGCGGAATAAATATCTGTTAAGGTACTGTAAAATACTTTAAACGTCAACGCAATAAATGCACAATACAATACCTAGAATACTTCCAGCGGTCGAGGGACACGGGCGGCGACAGCGACCTCAGCGTCAAACAGCAGCTGAGCAGCCTGACCTACGTCACGAAACTCATCGACAACAGACTGTTAAAAATAGAAAACGCCCCTTTCGAAGGGCTAGAGGCCGACGATCCGTTGGGAGCCGAAGACGTCGACCTCACCCTCCACCAGATCCTCAAAGATAACCTCGGTCTGTCCCATTTCATGGACTTCGCGACCACCCGCGGCAAACACTGCGACCTCTTCTTCTACCTGAACATCGAGGGCTGGAAGGACTCGGTCAGGAAGGAGCTCGCCGACCTGCGAAACCTCCGGGGCAACCACGAGATGGCGTCGTCGGTCTACAAAGTAATCAGGTCGACGGCATCGGACCTCTACGAGGAGTACCTCGGTTCGAGGGGAGGGGGACGTTCGCACGTCGACGCTGGAGTCGCGCAGATTTTACACTTCAAAATCAGGAACCTGCAGGAAACTCCTAGCGAGCTTTGGTTCGACGAAGTCGAACGCGTCCTGCTTGACAGGATGGAGAGGGAACTCCTGCCGGCGTTCAAACGGAGCAAGTCGTACGTCAAGCTGCTCCACGAGCTCGACTTGGTGCCGCAAGGTGACGAGGAGGGCGAAGGGGCGTTGTCGACTGAGCGCGCGCTCTTGTCGGTCGACTACGCGGCAACCAAGCCGAAACACACGAGGTCGTTCAGTGACGTAGTCGTGTTCGGGTCCGGTCGGGCTGAGGTGGGCGGAGACTCGCGCCAACCCGAAGACGATGACGTCGCGGATCGTTCAAAAAATGGCGACTTTACGATCACCGTCAGCATTATCGAAACAGGTACGACGGGGTGGCGAGGAATAATGAAACCGTTACCGCTTAATTTTGGTGTCAGTTTAGCGTCTTCAGTCTCTTGCATTCCGGAGAAGCCTATTGATCTGCTGGAGATACGAAAAAAAGATTCTTACAAAAGCTACTTGGACTCTTCTGAAGACTTAAAATATTATAATTTTGTTGATACAGGGTGTCCCAAAAGTGTCAGACATATATTTCGACATTTTTGGAATCCTTGGTTAAAATAAAAGTCACCCTCTTAAGCAATTCCTATAGGAATTTTGCATAGTTTAGGCAGCAATTGAGGTTATGTGTTGCTACTGATCCAGGTACTGCGGTTTGACAGATGCGTCTTGCTTAAACAGGGGTCCCAAATAGGTGGTGCCGTTTCGGCGAATTAACAAACTCTCCAGATTTTCAGTTATATTTTTATTCACAATCACACAAAAACACGAAAAAGAGCCTTAAGACTACGTCAAATAAACTCATCAGCAATTGCCGAACACAATCGGGGAAAAAAATTTAATTAATTCTTCTAAATCCGAGAATCCATAGATGTCGCTTACAACCAAACAATCTTAACCCCTCCACCTTTAGCTCCGCTCTCGTCAAACACTATATAAGCAAGTACACACTAGAATGCGAGCCAGTTTCCAGAAGCCAATAACCAAGCCCTTGCCACTTTGTGTGTTCGTTATGAGAAGAACGTCCTCGCTAGAGAAATAAGTAATCCAGCATATTCTAACATCAATACAAACTTTGAGGGCTCTTTTTGGAGGTGCATTGCGATGTTTCCGTTGCGGCGTCAGAGTTCGCATTTTTGTCGATCCACCTGCTAGGAATATAAAATGGTTAATTCCTATCGTGAGGTCTACCAACAACCGGCAACTACCTTTCATACCGTTATAATGGATACATTTTTAATAAAGATACTTTAGTCATTCGAGGCCGTAGTTGTTGACACCTTTCGTCTCTAGGTATTTAAACAACAGGCCGTTGATAAAACAATAATGATCCCAGATCAAAACCCTGATGTATCCCGGATATATAGACTTTTTTTTACCAAGCTTTACCTAACCCATTTAGCACCTTCAGTTATTTTTCTATTACTAAATGAACACAATATATAAACATCACCGACCAACAACAACAACGTTAGAACGAGATTTACCACTCAGGTCTTAATTTTTTACCAATATGTGAGTTAGTCGTTCGCGACAATGTTCACCTTTAGCTCCGCCCCCTTCAAACACTACATAAGCAGGTATCAAGCAGAATGAAAACCAGTCTCGCTTCCGTAATATCGCCAATCTACCTAAGCGATCTACGGGTGATCCGTGATTGCAGTACCCTGATAATATGTCGGAAGCACTCTGCTTTTCTTGCATTTATAGTCTTAACGGGAGTGCTGCTGTTCGAAGATTTTAAGATTAAGGTTTTACTAAGACGTTTTTCGAAGCTGCCTATGTATGGCCAACTCAATCAAGAGGTCCGTCGGGTAATAAACGTCCCATATCTGTTTCCTGTTTTCAGGCCCGTTGTTTTATTCGAATCTTGAAATTCCTTAACAAGTGCCTGTAGATTCTCTGGGTCCCACACTACGTAAGCGCTATTAAGCTGGAAATAGTGGATCTTCTTGGGAATTTGCTCCTCTCATGTTTTACGATAGTAGATCGCGAAAATAAGACTTTCGTTACTGCAATGTTTCGACAGGCTTTTATTATTAAAAAAAAAACTTCATTTTCCTTGCAAACCCGAGGTTGTTGCAGGTATCGTCTGCGAGAAGGGCAAGACATTTGGCATTTACGCGCTGAGAGTGGGCAGACAATACGAAACGGGTTTCTTGGAGGAGTGGCACGTGTACAGACGATACAGCGACTTTTACGACCTGCACGCGCGCGTGAAAGGCAAAGTAAGTAAGACAATATCACGTTTTTACCATTTACAAAACTTCTGGATCGCCCTGTTGTCTTCTCAACTTCTATTATCTTTTTTTTTTTTTTTTTTCCAAAGAAACTTCCACAGGCTACTGTAATGCTTTTTACAAAACTTCTGGCTTCTTCAGAGCTTGAATGAGCTTGAAGTGAATACTTTATTGACTGGAGTTGCGTTTTCTCTAACCACTACCGAATCAGCCGGATGTAGTCGATAATTTCACCGGCAAACTTTTTTTAAATATTTCTTCAAATGTGCCGCGCACCCTGTATAATAGACGAAACCTGAAACTCTCTCTCGACACAATTTACGATACCGATAAAACCAAATCATCCCAAAAACGCAATTTTCACGATCTTTTAAATTTTTTTTGTCCATAATCGACACACCCTGTATGAATGCATGAAGTAAAAGTTACAGCCTCAGATCTCCCACGTTTCCCGGTATATGAATTTTTTCAATAGGGAAAATGGTTTTCGAGAAAATGCTTGTTTTCTGATACCAAGCAGTACATCGTAATAGTAAATGAAGTAATCGCACCTAGATTGAGTGCGAGATATAGTGACTGTCACATGAACTCGGAAAGCGTGGATAATAGACATAAACCGTAAATAATAATTTAGAAACGTTGTATATCATCGAGAAAATGTTTGAAATAAAAGTTATAGCACCGGATCTTCCGCGTCTTTTTATCCATAATTTTTATTTAAAAATCAGAATAATCCAAAAAAAAATCGATTTTTGTTAAAAACTTGTCGAAAGGAGATTCATTCCAGTTTCTAGAGTTCAGATGTGGGAATGGACTTTTGCTTCCGTGCTAAAATTGGAGTTCATAGCTACAATTTTGAAACATTTTTGAATATAGCACAGAAAACTCCAAACACCCTATACAATATGTGAAAACCTGAAGTACTGTCTGCAGTCTATATGGGTTATATAGCCGTATGATATAAACTGATAACCGTCAGTGTCATAAACAGTTACGGTCAATTATCGTTGTAACAGAAACACATTTTTTTTTAATTACCCACGCACCCTGTACATTTTTAAAAAATCGTCAAGAATAAAATTTTTTGCTCCGAATCTCGAGCGTCTTCTGGTTTAAAATTTTTTCGATCGTTTTCGAGAAATGACTTTTTTCTGGATACTGCAAATGCGGTTTTGAAATGTTAAAAAATACTTCCCGACCCCCGAGCCCCCCCAATTTCAATAGGTTCCGTCAAGGGACTAAGATCTATATATGTGTTAATTTTGAAATCGATAGCTGCAAATATCGGACACTCATCGTGTTTCATAGCGATGTACGAAAAGCAGACGAAAATTGCAAAAAAAAGTGGACGCCACTGTCTAATTTTGGCAATTTTTTATACTCTTATGTATCTCGTGGGCCGTTAAAAAGGAGCCAAATATCTGCGCAGTGGCTTAACCCGTTCAGAAGTTATTCGCGTTTTCATGAAGCGTCGACAGAGAACGGAGAACGGACAGACAAAAAAAAAGTTTTGAATTTGACTTCATTTGCTGATGACAGTCAGTTATTTTACTCTTTCGATCCTATGGATTTGCATAACATATTTCTGTATTCTTCTAGGCATAATCTTAACCTAATCTAAGTCTAACATTGAGCAAGTATCCCAAATGTATTTATTAATTACCGGTGAACGTTTGAAAAATGTGAATTGTAATAAAAACCCTGGCGTTAAATTTGATTGTAGGCTTAGATTCGTGGAATGCGTCTCTTTCTTGGGGAAAAAGTCTTGTTTGGTTTTGCGCCATTTATACAGACACAGAACTATCGTTAATTTCAGTGTACGGAAACTTTTAGCTTGTTCTTTCGGTTATGAACTATGGTTTCGTCCTCTATTATATTAAAGACAGCTGTTACAGATTTATTTTCGACTTGCGTAATTTTGATAGGATTTCCCACAAGATCCAGGAACTTAACTGTCCAAAAATGGACAGTACTTTCGAGTACTTTTTGTCGTCCCTGGTTTTCGAAATTATTAGCACATCCAATCCGTCCTACTTACGAGTTAAATTACAGCTTCGTAATGTTCAATCGGTGGCTTTAAGGCACCGCTGCAGACTCTCCCAGCCACAATATCGTTTATCTTTGTTGTAATTTTTAATAGTATATCACATCACATTCAATTAAATTCTTTAAAAATATTTCAGGTTGAAACTGCTCAAATAAATTGATTTTCAATGTTATTCTTTTAATTTTTACTTATAATAACTTTCTATTGTTCTATATTACTATTACAGTTATCTATTATACTACTGTATATTTATATATAACGATATACAACAATAAAAGCAATTTATTATTATAATAATAATTATTATTATTACAGTAGTTTGTGGAGGTGTCTTTGAATAAAAAAATTATGAAGTTTTGGTCGAAGCTCTACTGTCGGTTCCATCTCTACTAGGAGATTCGCCTCTTGGGTTAACACTTTCAGTGTATGTAAAAGCTGGTTAGTCAACCGCAACGGTAGGTAGATGAGTCTTCCGCCTGGATAGTTCGCTTATGACGTCTCTAGTATGGCTTGGCTCATTCAAGCCAAAACTGACTACCTTTTTGCGTACTAAACCCTGGCCTGTCACCACGCACCCTCGCAGTTTCCAGACCTTTCGAAGCTCGCGTTTCCCGGCAAAAAGACGTTCCACAACATGGACCGGGCTGTGCTCGAGCGCAGGATGAAAATGCTCGACCACTACGTCAACGAGTTGACCGGCACTCGCACTCTCGAAACCCACGAAGGCCTGCGGAATCTGCTGTCCTCGTTTTTGGAGCAGGGGGAGTACGACAGGGCGACCGGCGGTCCCATGACGACCACGGTGAGTGATCTTTAGGACATGCCGCCACCATATCCTCATCAATGCAGAGCGGCCTCCGGCATAACAATTTTTATCAAAAAGATAAAAATATTCTTTTTTTTGCACAGTAGAAAATAGGCCGCAAAAATTAGTTAAAATCTGTTAGTAAAAACAAAGAATACAGAAAGTCCAGAATACATGTTTGCCAATAATATACGTTATTAGACGCCGAGACAGAATATCACATAAACTAGTAAAGACGAAATGGTTGAACATGGAGAGCAGAAGAAAACTACATGAAGCCTATTTTTATCGCAAGGTTCTATACTACAAAAGTCCTCAATATCTGTACAGAAGGATTGTGATATAAAACAACACTGTTTGAGCATGGTTTTTCCTTTAATATAGGTAAATTGTATAGTAGTCTTCCTAATAACTTCAAAGCCCTTTTTCGAAAAGTAAAGTTTTTAAGCAAAATAGGATACATTAATAAGTGTGGGGAGAAATAAAAATGATTTTTTTTCTGTTATTGTGCTATCGCTGTCGCCATAAAAAGGAGTTATTTTTCAAAGAAACTTCCACAGGGTACTGTGATGTTTTTTACAAAACTACTGCATTCCTCCTGCGTCGGTTTTCATCCAGTTTCAGTCAAGCTCCGAAGAAGCCAACAGGATGATTGGCGAAACGTCAGCAATTTCGGCTAAGCAAAAACCGACGCAGGAGGAATGCAGAAGTTTTGTAAACAGCAAAAAGAGTTATTGTTTCTCAATCCGTTGGGTTATACGTAGAAAGTGTGGATATACAGGAATAAAGACATATTATTATTATTATTTCTTTTTAAATACAACATACGTCAAAAAATTAAAAATTTTGTCTTGAGGCGAATTGACACTATTGTATCTAAAATCGAATAAAATGGAAAAACTGAGAATGGCAGAAAGCAATATTGTAATGCTAGAAAGTGTGTGTTTTTTTTTAAATAATCCATCTTGCGCATGTAAACAGTAAATAACTCTAATTAATCCGTATAGTACACCAACTGTAGAGACCGTACTTTCTACAAAGCAATTCGAAATCAGATAAAAAATCTCTTACACCTTGACATCAAATTTGTGACTGACAGCATGCGGTGAAACTTTTGTTTGTGCATTTATTTCTCTAGGCCTACTAAGAAAAAATGATTACTGGAAGGATAATATAAATACTTTATTTTAACCGAAATTATGATTCGAGAATGCATTGCGCACTGTTCAGATCAACACGCTGGTTAGTCCGCTGAGGTCGGGCATGAAGTCGATCAAACAAGTGCCGGAGCAGCTGATCAGCACGATGGACGAGATGGTTGGGGGCCTGTCCAAGGTGTTTCACGGTAGGAACGCGAAGCAACACGAAGCGGGCAAAGTAGGCGAGTCGATCGAAGAGGTGTGTGGGGGGGGGGTGGTCTACGCGTCGCGCTAACCTGTTTTCGGATGACCTGTGCTCCAGACCGACGACAACGTGCCGCTGCGCATAATGCTGCTGCTGATGGACGAGGTGTTCGACCTGAAGTCGCGAAACCAGTGGCTGCGCAGGCGCATGGTCACGCTGCTCCGCCAAATACTCAGGACCATGTTCGGTGACATCGTGAACCGTAGAATACTAGACTACGTGTCGCACATCACCAGCCCGAAGAACGTCGCCCATTACCTCCACGTGTTCAAGTAAGTTTCTTCACTTTGGATAACGCTACGGTTTACGAGGTGTGTTCCAAAAAGTAAGGTGACTTTTTTCTTAAATCGTTGAGCTTTGGGAACAGGAAAAAGTCGCATATACGGTGAATATGGAAAAGTTAATCACGAGCAACGATGAGGGAGCAGGTGCATTATCGTGATGCAAAATTCATGAAGTTTTCTTCGTATTGCTGTTCGCAAAAGGCGCCTTACTTCAAGGTAATACTTAAAAAAAAAAACAACTTCCACAGGCGACTCTAATACTATTTACAAAACTTCTGGATTCCTACTATTAACCGAACGCAGGAGGAATTCGGAAGTTTTGTAAATAGTGTTCAAAGTAATACTCTTTATTGAAGAACTCTTGATGTACTACGCCACGATAATAAATTAAAACAGTAAGCAAAGCTTTCGAATTTGATGAAACTGACGTGCTTTTTTCGGTCTTGGCGATTCTGGGTACTTCCATTGGGACGACTGAGCTTTGGTTTCGACGGTAATTTTGTTTAAAAATGGCATGTCTTCAGCCCCTTTCCTGATAGTGATTCTACGTTATTTGAACACCATTTGTTTCACTTCTTCAACGCTTTCATCAGTTAATGCCTTGCTGGGGCGTCCAAAGCGAGGTTCGTCATCGACTTGTTGGAACACCTTATAAACTTTTTTTTTTTTTACTCAAAGTAGATTTACCATATGCCGTTGTCAACATGTCAAGTGTTTTGTATAGCATTTTTTACACAAAATTGTTATGCAAATCCTTTGTTTCACTTGTTTTGGCAGCAGAAAATCGCCGAACACACAAAACACGTCTAACGTTTCTGTCTCAAACTGCAAACTGACTAAAACTGTGGACGTATGTGAGGGACATGTGCACCAACAAAACAAAAAATATATATCGAAAATCGAATGTAGTTAACCCGTTCCAATTACAAAATTCATCTTACTTTTTGAACACACCTCGTATATATTGTTTTTTCACGCAAAAAATGGAGCCTTTTTCCTTCTCTTTTAAGATCTTATTATCAAGGAGGTTATCCATGGAATCCCAGTTGACTGCACTGTCCTCCCAATGGCAGCTTCCATGCCCTCTTTTAGAAGACATGCAGACAAATTTTGAATTAAAAAATATCAATTATTTGCTAAGTTAAAGTTTCAGATGAAATTTTCTTTTTGGTTCTCTTCAACCTACGGTTTAAACATAACAAATAATATACAAAAATTTCTAAGATGTTGACATATTTTACACAGTCGTGGGTATTTGCAAAGCCAATTTTAAGAAGAGTGTTCGAACCTGAATTGATAAACAGTTAATTTTGTTTGCTTCATTTTCATTTGTACTTTTGACGTCAGTATTCTTGGGGAAAATTCGCTCTCGTATTCATCAGGTTCTTTAGAGTTGTTGGGCGGGATTCCAGCGTGATGGGGACATTCCTTGGGATCTGGGATCAAATTATTGTTAGTACCGGTTCTTCTTTTTCTTTTCCTTGTCCGGGCCTTATTGAATTTTTCGAAAGTATACGCGCTTGGCAGCGAAACTTATTGCTACAGAAATGATCAATGTCGGAAAAACTTTATTATTTTTTCTGTTCTCTGTTCTCTGTTGTCTGTTTCTCTGTAGACACGGCATTAATTGGTCATAACTTTCGAGCGCTTTGACCTACGGCATTTATATTTCGCTCCTTTTCAACATTCTACATGACATATAGGTCAATAGAAAATAGCCGCAATCAGACAGCGGCCTCCATCTTTTTTCTTCGATTTTCGATTCTTTTTTGGACAACACGATAAGTGTCCGAAGTTTGAAGCTATCGATATTATATTTGACAAGTGAGTAGCGTTTGGTTCCCTGGGGAGCTCGGGAAGTATTATTAAAAAATTAATAATCGCGTTTCTTTTACATGGTCATATGGCCTATATAAGCAGCTAAACCTTTACATATTGTATTAAGTGCTCAAGATATTACGTGCTATATTAAGAAATATGACAAGTGTCCTAAATTTGCAGATATCCACTTCAAGTTAGGCAGAGGGTTAGTAGTTCACACTAAATCGTTCAAACTGGGCGTATTTAAAAAAAAATAAAAATCGCGTTTGCAACGGTCCTCGAAAAAAAAAACATTTCTCGGATACGATTTGAAATATTGACAAAAAAAATTGAACGAAAAGACGCCCGAGATCCGGATCTAAAAATCATCAAGAATAAGATTTTTTAATAATTTACAGGGCGCGTCAGCAATTTGCAAAAAACTAAAAAATGGCTTCTTCTTTTAAAGATATTTGGCTATAACTAGAAGGCTGTGTTTCTGTTGGCAGTTTCTTTGATATGGTCATATCGGGCGTATAGAGGCGCACAACTTTTCTATTAGTAGGTGCCTTAAATGTGCAGCTATCGACTTCAGATTTGGCAGGAATATAGAACTCTGTACTGTACATTTAAAAATAAAAATTAAAAAAAAAAAAAAGCTGCTTCGCGCTACGAACTTCAATCGATGAAATCGAATTTGGTACAGATGGAATCAGCGTCGAAAAAAAAAAACGTTTTTAATTTTTTGTCTGTCCGTTTCTCTGTTCTCCGCTTCTCTGTAGACGGGGTATTAATTGGCTATAACTTTCGAACGGTTTGCCACACCGCCTTCAAATTTGGCTCCTTTTAGGCAGTCCATGAGACACATAAGGCAATTAAAAATGGCTGGGATCGGATCCCGGCGACCATCTTCTTTTTCCGATTTTCGGCTGTTTTTTGAACATTCCTATGAAACGCGATAAGTGTCCGAAATTTGAAGCTATCCACTTCAAATTTGGCGGGCAAATAGCTTGTGGTCCCTTAACGGAAACGGTGGAAATTGGGCGGCCGGGGGGTCGGCAAGTATTTAAAAAAAATTAAAAACCGCGTTTGCATGGATCTCAGAAAAAAATCATTTCTGTACGAGTTCGAAAAAAATTGCGGATCAAAAGATCCGCAAGACCCACCCAATGCTTTTATTCTTGACATTTTTTAAAAATGTACAGGGTGTGGCCAGTATTCGCATTTCGTTTTTAATGAAAATTTACCGAACTAGAAGACTGCGATTCAGAAGTCAGTTTGTTTTACACCAAAATATAGCTCGTGTAGCTACTTTTGCATTACAGGTTTTTACCGATTGTACAGAGTGTTCGGGATATACCGTGCAAAATTATAAAACGTAATAGGTGCCCTAAATTTGCAGCTACCTACTACAGGTTTGGCAGACAAGCAGAAGTCTAGACCCATTAGCCATTATTACGATCGCCAAAATTCTTTAACCACCAGACGCGGAAGATCCAGATTATATACAGGATTTTTCAGTTATGGAGAAAAATCTAAAAGACCCTGAAAATTGTCCGTTTCCAGAGTAAATTGGTTTAAACAGTGTAATAGGCCACATCGAGAGCAACAATTTTTGTATTTATAGTTTTCGTCTATCCGAGATATTTGAGAAAATCTTTTCGCCCTCAATTTAGACGAGATGTGTGATTTAATGCATGGTTTCAGAAAACAACTAATTTCTCTAAAACTATTTACTCTATTGAAAAAATTCATATACCAGAAAACTTGGGAGATCCAGGGCTATAACCTCTATTTCAAAAATTGTTTGAATTATATACAAGGGGTGTCGTTTATGGGCAAAAAAATCTAAAACATCCTAAAAATTTCCGTTTTTGTGGGTAAATTATAGTTGATAAATGAAAAACTGCTAAAGATGCGATAAATTGATTTGAACAGTGTCGTAAACTGTGTCGAGAGAGAGAGTGTCAGGTTTCGTCAATTATACAGGGCGCGCGAGATAGTATTTGTACAAATTTTTATATTTAACCAAGTTTGCCCTAACTTTGAAGTTCGACGAGACTTTAAGGACGCTTTATACAATACGTCCCTTTACCACAAGAAACCGCGAGCTTCTTCTTTTTAAAATAAAAAGCTGCTTCGCGCTACGCGCTACGAACTTGCCCCGCCCAGCGACGATTTTTCGAAATCAATGTTGTTGTTATCGCGAGTCACGATTTCAGGCAGTCTTTCTGGCCGAACGGGGTGCGCATCGAGCGCAAAACCGAACGGTCTTCAGGTACGAAGAACAGGACGAGGGTGGCAGCCAAAGCGGCCCTGCTCGCGTCGCTGTCCGACGAACTGAAGCACATCATCGGATCTGAGACGAGTCGTCGCGGTCTGCTCACCGTTTTCGAGCTGTTTCAACGTCCAGTGCTCAACCGACGTCTCATCTACGTCCTGGTCGAGGGCATGGTGTGCACTTTGTTCCCCGAGAAAGACATGGCGTCCCTGTTCCGGAAACTGCACTCGAGATCGAAACGTAGCGCTGTGAACGTCGCCACGTGAACACTATCCTTGGCCAAAGATTTTCCTCTCGACTCGAGTTTTGTGATACCTGCACTTACTCCGATCTATGCGCACTAGATTATTTATTTATTTCGATATATTTTGCAAATAAACGTATTCTTTTACGGGTCGCATTTATTTTACCCCCGAACATCACTAGCGCCACCGTGAGCTACGAGACGAACTAATAGCCCGATGACATTAGCAGGGAATCGGTAAAATTGCGTGGTCGCATATTTATTTACGTTTGAAAAGTTAGATCGATGTTTTCTTTGATTAAATAAAACTGCAAAATACGTATTACGAACAAATTCTAACTAAACACTAGTTCGTTCCCTTTTCATCGACGCTTATAAAGGATTTTGTGGCTCCTAAAAGAATATTTACATCAATTTACATTTAAGATAACTTATCTCAGTAAGTATGACATTGTGGAAACAAACTTAAAAACAAAAAATGTATAAGTATATATTTTATTTATAGTATTTTTAGTATTTATAGTATTTTGCGTTGTGCCAGGAGAGTAACCAAGTTTATTTTTTTAAATTGGCTGCTATCAATATTTTTGATTTTGAGTATTTTTTTGTCCTAACATAGCTTACGAAATTTTGAGTCGCTTTTGATGAAAATGAAATTGGGAATTTTCATTATGGATCCATGGAATTTAATGCTTTGAGCCTTTTACTATCAAAAAGTGTTCTTTCTAATTAACAAAAACTCAATTATTTTAAGAATTAGGTCCCAAACCCAATAAAAGTGCCACATACACACTTTTATGGGCTTTCTTATACACAGCTTTTATTACAAAAATTGGTAGTTTAAAAATTATGGCCAACTTTCTGTAACAATTCATGAATTATATATTAAACATCTAACTGGACATTAGTTACTAAAATTCAATATAAGCAATACAAGTAAATAGAACTTATTACTAATTACAAAACATTTTCTACATAGTCTTCATTTTTGGCAATATAAGTGGTATATATGGTTTTAATTTTAGCAGTAGCGTTTCTTTCAAACGGCACAAGAAAAATAAGTCGTAACTCAATTTCTTTACAGGCACAGTACTCGGGTTATTCTGATGTAATTCGCCTTCATCTTTTAATCAGATCGATTTTACTGCTTCATAATACGGGCCTTAATCTAACCTTACTACAATTTGACATTGCATGGTTCTACTGCGCCGACTCCTGTAATTTTCTAAAACAAACAGACCCCTCCCATGCTCTTTTTGATCTGTGACTGATTTTGGAACAAAATTCACACAGATATCCTAATTTTATACGCAAAAAGATTAAGATGTGATTTTTGAAATACTGTTTAAAATATTGACTAACCCAGTTGGTTGTCACTGTCTGCTGCCGATAACGTTTTTTATCTTGCGTCAATGAAATCAAAGGCGGTAATGGAAAAACCTGCCAACTGTTATCCTCGACTAACTTATGACCACTTATTCGCTTAGGTACATATTAAATATGAACTTTCACAGAAAAAAAGTCCATTTACAAACATCAGAATGGGATAACGTTAAAAAGCAAATGTCAAAAATTCTATTACCAATATTTCCAGGGCATCAGTTGGTCAGGCGTGTTTCACTCTCTCATCCTGGTTGTGATGCATAATGCAATTTAATGTCGGCGGTGGGCGAGTGTCCATAATATACTTGCCCAATCAAATCATGGAACAAGTGTTCAGTGACCCTGGACTAAACATCCCGAAAGTCGATTTCTCCGATAAAAACAGACGAAACGTAAACGATAGATGCTATCGCTCGGGCAAAAGCGCTATCCGCGACCCGGATGTTATCGGCGAGGACACTTTCGACAACAGTCCGCCAGAAAAACAAGTTATTTGTCTGTTATCCGTCACGCAACATGCGAGAACTCTCGATTGAAGACAAACCGAACAAAACGGTTCGGTTGATCCTGAACCGGCACTCGAATCCTCCAGGGGAACCCTTTCTAACCGACCGCAGAAAGATATCGATCGAGCTGAGCCCGAACAAAGACTTCGACGCGGCATTGCTTAGCGAGTTAGGCCCGCGTTTCTGTTCCGTGACCTGGTTGGGCGACTCGAACGACAACGTCAGCGTCGAAGAGAACCCTTCGATAGCGCTCGCCAAAGACCTGCAGGCCCATGGGTACGAGACAGTCCTCCATTTGCCGGGCAGGAATTTGACGTCGGCTATGGTGGAAGAAATACTGAACGCGATCGACTCGGCCGGAGTAAGGGGCGTGCTGGCCCTTCAGGGCGGTGAGATTTCTTTTCGATTTTAACAGGGAGACAAACCCAATAAGAATGGAGTACCGTTATCTCAACTCAATTCGAACAAACGAAAACCAAATTTTAAAGAAAAATTCCCATTTTATTTGATACTATTTTGTTTTATGATGTGTGTACCCGTTTCGTTCGTGTGATATTGGGTAAAAATGAACCGCAACTCCAATGCAAAGGTAAATCGAAAGTGAGGTTTTGGCATAGTCAAATAAAATGCTTAAAGGATTTTTATTTTTTTAAGATTCGATTTCGTTTCCAATTCCCTTCAGGACGGTGAGATTGTTTTTTTTATTATTGGGATCTTAGGAATCTTTGGTATCTGTGATATCCGCAAAAAAAAAATTAAAAATGCCAAAATATAATTATGAAATAAAGATTTTAAAGTTATTGGTTGCCGTCTAAAAGGTATAACTTTTTGTAACAAAGAACTTCATTCATGGTATTTTTAATTTATTTTTTTGTAGTGTTCATTCAAGGCTATAATTCAAAATTATTTCCGGCTCTCTTTGTAATTCTATAAAGAAAATTACGCAATTAAAGTTGTAAAGACAAATAATTTAATGCATGCAAAATTGTTCTAATTAAAACATCTCAAATTTTGCATATTTATGTTACTTACGATGTACAGGGCGAATCATGTTGAATTCTGGAGAAATATAAAAGGAAACTGGTTCAAAGTTAAATTAATATACAGGGTGTTCTATTCGATACGTTGAAGAAGTTTTCGTTTTTAATTGTCCTTAACTTTTATTGTGCCATTCAGCCTGAAGCACCCTGTATATAACAAAGCATACACAATGGGCTCATAAAAGTTTTCTTTTAATTATTTAACTTCTAAAGTAAGTCGGAAGAGAAAGAAAGAAAATTAAGAGACAGAATTTTGCAAAATTGGAAATTTAAAAATAAAATCTTTATGCCAATCTCAAATGTCCTGGTTTCCTCCTGCGTCGGTTATTAATGACGTTTCGCCGATCATCCTGTTGGCTTCTTCAGAATTAAAACTGTAGGGACTTTGGTAAAGAGGGATTTCACGCCGAAACTAACCAGAATATGGATTTAATCTAATGCTTTTTAATTGTTGAATGAAATAAAAGGATTTAAGTATGAAAGCCAATGGTGAGAACCAATGGTGCTGATAATAGGGCATATCAGTCAAACTTGTAACGATGGCTTAAGGCACTCTTCAGAAGAAGACAGACTTCTGATAATCCTTACATTTGATGGTATTTTTTACGGCATATTATGCAATATATTGTTGCTTTTCATTATTTGTTGAAATGGTAACTGTACTTAGCGAAGTAATTGTTTTGTAATTGGATATTGTATATGTCAGACAATAAACCTTATTATTCTTATTATTATACATTTTGAAAAAGTAAAGTTTCAAATGCGAAGATTGGGCGCATGTACGCGAAAAAGACGACTCCAAGTGCGAATTTCCATACGCCGCTGATCTCGTGTCGTTCGTGAGGCGCACTCGGGGCTCCCGTTTCGTCATCGGGGTGAGCGCGTATCCGGACGGCCATGAACGCAGCGCCGCCGCCGACGACGAGTTCAACTATTTACGTCAAAAGGTAATCTGCGGCCTTTTTTTAATTTACAAACATTTTCATTTGCTCTTCCGTAGCAAAAATGCATACGGCGATATTCATTATTTGAACATTCCATAGGGTCTTTTAAGAGAAATTAATTTTTAGCAGTTTGTGACAATGATTTTTTCAAAGTTAGGTAATTTACAGGTAAAATTTGAGCCAAGAATAAAAAAGTCGATTTGTGACTAAACGATAACACTTATCGACTTAAAACAGGGGTAACAATTTTTGAGGATTTGCGATTCTGCTGAAGGCAATTTGTTCAATTTTGCAATATCGCGTTGAAACTACATGTGCGTTGAAATCGATTTTCTCGTAAAAAATGATTTTCAAAAAAATCTACGTAGCATAGGTTTTTTTATCTTGCCAATTGGGCGTTATCTTATGAAAGCCCTGTGCCTGATAAGTTCATTCTCGTACTATTTATACTATACTTTTACATAGAAAAGTTCCAGAATGTTTTGCAGAATCTAAAAATGTTATAATATACAGAGTGGTCCTTTTAAAAAACGAAAGTTGATATACATTACGACTGTATCTGGCGACGTCGCATGGCCAAAAATGTTTTATGTAGGTAGCTCATATTCGTTCACACTTCAGGTTTTTACCTTAAGCTATTTTCAGCTTTTCTTCTTTTTTTTACTATTTTAAAGGCGCTCTAGCCAGTGGCTTATCTAATAACTTTCCAGGTTGACTGCGGCGCCGATTTCATCGTGACGCAGGCGTCGTTCGAGTTTGACACGCTCGAGGCGTTCGCGCGGCGTTGCCGCGCACGCGGCATCGCGGTTCCCATCTTGCCGGGCGTCTTCGTCATCAAAAGTCAACGATCGCTGTCGGCCATGATGCGGTATTGCCAGCTCCGCGTGCCTGACAGCTTGCTAGCCGACGTAGAGGCGAGGAAAGAGGACGACCGCGCGGTCGAAGCGTACGGCGTCGATCTGGCAACGTCGCTCGTTCGACGGGCGCTGCGCGACAGCTACGGCTTCGGCGGCGCGCACATTTTCACCCTCAACGATTTGGGCTGCACGGCCGAGGTTCTGCGCAGACTGCGCGAAAATCGATAACAATAAACGATTACAAGATAGAAATGTTAGAAAATACATCAAAAGATTCCGATTTGATGGATGAATTTCAAATAATAAACCAATTTTTTTTTGTCCGTTTATTTATTTAAGAAACAAAATAAACACTACTCACGACTCCTGCTAGAACGTGTCTAAATCTTTTTCCATTCAAGGATTTAAGGATTGTCTTAGAGTTTGCAGGATTCTAGTATAATACGACCAAAAATATAGCGCATTACGAATATTAGTAAAAACTTGTTAGATTGCAATATGTTCCTATATATGACGGAGGTATTTGATTATGATCCTTCCAGTAAGTACTTATTTATGTACCTTTTTCTCGAGCTTTGACCCGAGGCGAGGCTGTTTGCACTGGATAGTCCTAAGGGTAACTGTAAGTGCCTGAACTCTATTTATCTTACAGGTAAGTTTGTCTTGTGTGTCGATCAACAATATTCAACGTTTGAAAATAACTATAGCCAAATATTGTTATTGTATTGGATAAAGCCTCGTAAAATTCAGCCCAAATTAGAAAACTTCCAAATACTTCTTCACATAAGGAAGAAATTAAAAAACACTGCAAAATCGGCAGAAGAAAACAGCATATATGAGAAAATAACACTGCACCAAAATTTAATGGTAGTCCCACAAATGTAATTCGACAAGAGGTAGCTAAAATATCAGTGCAAAGCTGTGAAAAACGAGTAATAAATGAAGAAAATATTTAACGAGAACGATTAGTGACGACAGTAGCGATAGTGACGATTTTTTACTTTATAATTATTATATTTAATATTTTGTATATTAATAATGATATTATGTAAAATATAATTAAATTTTACGTAATAAATTGTTACTTTGTAGTTTTTTTTTTATGTACGTGGTTTAAGACTTGAGAAAACGATTAAAAACATACCTATATCCCGCTTGTTAGTATAGGTAGATAAATTCCTAGGACGGTCCTGGAATAGTAGCTGGAAGGATCTGCTCGGCAGGGTCTTCTATAAGGAGCTGCGATTTTGGAGTAATAAACAGTAGGCAAAGTTAATAAGCACTATACTTCTGGTGGAAGTATATGTCCTAACCCATTTCGGCATAAGTTTAACTGTGAAAAACATTTCAAATAAATTTTTTTTCTAGAAATCCGCCTTTCTTTTGCAATAATATACCCAGATTGTACTGGGTATTATATCGGGATAGTAATGCCAACAGCAACGTTGTCAGATTTAAGAATGTCACTTCACACGTGATAGTTTGCTTATTACTTTCGCAAAATCGATGGTTTGTCTGTCCCTCTGTTCTCTGTCAAACTGCTTTTTGCTTTTTTTACTCTTTTATTTTATGAAATATGAACCCGATCCGACCCCGGCAACCCTGATTGTTCGTCATTTCTGCTTCGATTTTTCATTCGCTATGACGCACGATAATGTGTGCGAAAGTTGAATTTTTGCAGAAGTATAGAGTCCGAAACACTAACGAAACTTATTCAAAATGGGGGGGGGGGGAAGGTGGTGGTTAAAATAAAAAAAAAACCGTTGACCCGATGGACAAAATTCTTGAACCGAAAGACGCGGGAGATCTATGACTATAACCTTTATTTCGGGTATTTTTTCGATTATATACAGGGTTTTTCAAAATAGAAAAGACCCTGAAAAGTGTTCTTTTCCATAATTAATTTATCAGCTGTAAATCAATTTTTTTAAAACAATAGCTAATTTTTGTATTTACGGTTTTCAACGTACGCTGCTCGAGATATGTCAAAAGATCTGCATTGTTGTCAGATTTATCAATTTTACGGTAGACGTCATAAATTTGTTATATTAAATGGGATGCCCTATTCATTTTTGTTGCTATGAATTGCATACGTCAAATTCCTTAAGGTCTCCTAATTATAAAATTTTATATCTATTAACTACTGAGCTACGGCAACACCGCTTTTTTTCTTAATGAAAAGTACCGGAAAACAAATTTCTTAGAAACCGATTAAGCTGGAAAGCCATAGTTATATAGCCGGGGTTATTTGGACATTCAGAATTTGAAAATGTTAACAGCAACGTTGTCAGATTTACCAATTTTACGTTAGAAGTCATAATTTTGTTATGGATGAATTGATGAACTTAGTGAGTTCTGGTAATTTCAAAATTTAGTTTCTGTTAATTAATGAGCTACGGCAACGCCGGTTCTTCGATAAAAAGTACCTAAATATTTCTAAAACTCCAAAAGCTGGATTGATAAGCAACGGTGTCAGATTTACCACTTTTAACATACACTTCACAATTTTATTATTTTAAATGGGATCCCACATTTTGGCTGCAATAATTTGCGCATGCCGAATTTAGTAGTCTCACGAATTTCAAAATTTTATTGAGCTACGGCAACGTCGGATCTTCGATAAAAAGTACCCAAATATTTCGATTATGCATAATTCGAGAGACGTTGGGAATGCTAAGACATCTGACAACGCTGTATGTCGAATTTAATAATTTTCTAATCGCATACGGTAAAAATTCGCTGAATGTCCAATTTCCATTTCCGGTGTGAGCGGAAAGGACAGCAACTGTCGAATTTTAAATCGTACAACGTATATTTTTTTGCATTGTTGGATTCAGGAGACAATTGCGCTTGGGATAGGACGGTTTTTCTCACTTTTTCGTTTTTTTTTTTATTTAATTTTGGAAAATTGTGTCTAGGAGGCTGTGACCATCATAAATTTTATTTACCGGGTCACCTGATCAGGAGAAAAATTGTAAATGAAACTTTTCTGTACTTGTCTAATGGCAAACTGCATTTAATGTAAAGAACCCTAGTGGAAACAAAAACTTCCTAAAACCGATACTTTTTTTGCAATATCTCAACACCAAAAATCAAAATCAAAATCCGTTAACAAATAGGCTCACGGGAAGGAAACAGCCAGATAAGTAAATACATTCTTATAAAAACAAAATATTACTTAGGTGGCTCTGCTTCTATTCATCAAGTCGGCACGATTGAAAATTATGACAGTTTGTACATTTTTTATCTGATTATCGATTTTGTCGTGTTGTTTATTTGGATTATCATGGAAAACAATAATCAATTTACAAATGGAGAAAAAGTTGATATATTTCTGATTTACGGGGAATACAGAAAAAACTCTCGACAGGCCCGTGCATTGCATGCGTCCCGCTATACGGGAGGTCGTTGTATTATGATGATCACAGCCTCCAAGACACGATTTTCAGAAAAAGATAAAAAAAAACAAAAAAAAATAGAAAAACCGTACTATCCTAAAGTTTCTTACGTTCGAAAACTTCAAAAATTCCGAAAGTTTAAGGATGTTAAAACATCTGACAAAGCTGTATATCGAATTTTCTAATTTCCTAATCGTATACGGTAAAAAATGGGTAATTAAATCAACTCAATCGGTCGGGGTCGGACGAATATTCATCTCGCCAGGCGGCGCACCTCCCCACCCCCGCCAAAGTCATCCCCACCCACCGGAAAATCCGCAACTTGCGACTGCATCCAGCGAACTCGCGCGCAACTCTTCCGTCGGCGGCGACGACGGCGACGCCGGGCGTCAGTTTCGCGTTTCCGCCGTCGCGAGCGCTGCCCCGCATCCCTCTTCGAGTAGCCGCCGCCACGAGCGCGTCCAAAATCAAAACGTCAGTTATTATTGAACGGTGCAGCAAAGCGTGCCGCCGCCGCCCCCGGGTACTTGAAATGTCGCCTCTTTCTTTCGTTACGCGGGATTTCAGATACGGATGAGAGGGGGAAGATCGGCGACCTTGAACCTTGACGCCCCTCGTGCCGCCGCCGCGCCACCCCACGATCCTAACCTAAAAACCGCCCCGCGCCGCAACGACATATTGCTATGGACGGTCGCTGAGCGAAAGGTACGCGACAGCCGTTTAACAGTAGCGTCGCACAGTGGTTAACGTCATAGTTATACCGGGTGGCACAAGAAAGTGGGAATACTCTATAAATTTTAACCGACTTGACATAGCGATTTGAAATTTGGAAGGGTTGATATAAGCTAAATTTTCGTTTTTTTGACAATATGTATTCAACGGTTGCACTTTCGGTTTGAGCGGAAACGACACTAACATTCATACAATGAAATACGAAATATGTCCAAAATTTTGTATTGGTTTGTGGAGGAAAATAACTATTTGAAAAAACTAGGTTATTCTAAAAAATTAATAGTTCATTTCATTAAATGCTTTTTGCCATTAGAGAAGCAAATAAAAGTTTCATTTACAATTTTTCTCATGACCAGGTGATCTGGTAAATAGTATTTATGATGGTCACAGCCTCGTAGACACAATTTTAAAAAATTAAATAAAAATTAAAAAAAAACAAAAAAAATGCAAAAAAATATGGTTTGTGCAAAGTTACTCTCGTTTGCGCTGAAACCGGAAAGTTGGACATTCGGCCTGTATTAATCCTATCAAATGTCAAATTGCTATCTCAAGCCGTTTAAAAGTTATAGAGTGTTCCCACTTTCTTGTGTCAGCCGGTATGTGTTAATGTGTGTCTAGTCACGATAACAATATGAAATATAATTATTTATATACGGGGTGTTTTCTAATCGAATGTCAATAATTAAGGGGCCAATGTTAATTCATATGAACATATATTCTGCGCACTATGTATCAAGAAGCACTATTTTAATAAAATATCTAGTTTTTAGTTACCAACTAGTGTCCTTCAGAAAGAAAAAAATTACAACACTCTTCTTTTTATTTTCACAGCTTTAATGAAACAACATACTATTCTAATTCTAATAAACGCTTATTAAAAAAAATGCAACCTACCATTACTGACTTTAACAAAATTGTCTGTTAATAAATGAAAAACAACCTTTTTAAAAAAGCGTAGAACATAGAAACTAGATAAGCTGTCGAAAGTGTCCTCCATGTGGAGGGATACACGTTTCAGCTTTTTCTTATTAAATCGCAGGAAGCTTTTATACGATCTTTCAGCTCTTCTACAGTGTTGACTGTAGACTTTTAAGATTCCCGCATAAGAAAAATTCTGAATTATTTAAATCTGGGGACCTAGAGGGCGATGGTTGAGGTCCACTGCAAACTACCCATCGGTTATTAAATATGTGATTTAAATACTCTCTTACTGCAACACTAAAGTGAGCATTCGCGGCGTCATGCATGGACCATATTGTGTTCCTAATTAAATATGGCACTTCTAGCAGTATTGGCAAATCCTCCTCTAAAAACCGGCGATAATTATAGCCATTTAGCATTTCTGGTAGAA